TGACTACAACTCTCTGGCTTCTTTCCTTCAGGCCCTCTCTGGTCCTTTGACTTAAATATTCAGCTTACACTTTAAAGTAGTTGAAGTCGTTACACAGTAACGTTACACAGTAGTTACACATTTAAAGTAGTTGAAGTCGTATCTTAATTGTATTGTAACTCTATTTCTAAATGGGTCAGTGAACATACTTGCAGCAAATCAAATCCTGGATATCAGGCTCTTCAGGGTGTCAGTTGACTACTTACCATTACCACTCTTTCATAATGGTGAATAAGCTATCTCAAAACTCTTATTTTCCAGTTGCTCAACTAATTAATTAGCTCTTTTCTGGTTTAATTTTCCTATATGCTAGGAATAAAGTCTCAGCTCTGCCATGAATTGCAGCATAGTGACAGATAGCATTTTTAACGATCTGAAACGTAAATAATCAGTATGGTTTTGAGAAGCTGTTCATTCCAAGATATGTTTGTCCAAAGGTGACACTAAAAGCAAGAATTCAGCTCTGTCTCAGAAGCAGAGAGATCTGAAGTGTCTTCATAGTATGCAGACTTTGCAGCTGATTTCTCTTCTAGCTTAGATTTGGGGTTAATTTTTATTTTTGGAGCTTTTTACTCTGCTATATCAGTGACCTGGTTTTTAAAATTCTCTACCAGTAAAAAATTGTTTTCCTCGTTCCAGAGGGTATATAACATTTACTGTCTTTCAGTAAAAAATGAGAAAACAGCAAACGTGTAACTAAGGAGTGCTCGAAGTATGACCTTTATTAAAATTTTATGTCTTTCTCTGTTTGGATTACATGAAGTTGTGGCTCAAAATCAGCCTAGTACTCTTGAGTATATTTAAGCACTTGAAAGCCTTTAATCTGTTATGTGTTGAACTCCTTTTGTCTCATAGTGATCCTTTTTTTGTTAAGGCTAGTAGCTGGGATTGTGCTGTGTGCCTCTGCTTCTCTAAAGAGGCCAATAAAATAGAAATATCGTTAGTGCATTTTACTTGAGCAAATAGCTTACCATCAAAGTTGCTTAAAAAGCAATGTTGCCAGTTTTCCCTGAACGTGTGACTTAAAGTGAAAGTAGCCTTATGCTTATGTCTATCTGGCATAAAAACCTCCAAAAATTCTGTGATATAAGGGAATATCTAAAAGTAAAACCAAGAGTAGTTTTATATTTGGATATTTGTGTGCTACTGTTGTAGAGACGATATGATGGCTTGAGACTACTGTCAGCATTCTAGAAAAATCACATCTGTTCATGGATTTGGTAGCCACAACTGGCTACGAAGAAGGAAAAAGTGCAGAACTGTGGTGTAATGCTGTGTAGGGTGATGATGTGATGCCATGTCACAGGTCACGTTTTGAGTTCATATGCTCTTACAGCAACTGCTGCTGCTTAGGGATGGAGTGAGAAAAAGCTTCCTGTAGCTGCTAAGCATGCCTAGCTGAAATAGCCTGTAATACTAATGGGTGTGATGAGGAACTAATTGAGAAGGGGATAAAATATTCTCGTGTTCTAAAGAAAAGCATCCGTACTAAAATGATTTCAGGGGAAACTGGTATCTCTTGTAGGGAAGACGAGCTTTCCTATTTCCTGCTGCATTTTTTTTAGTCTGTGCCTTCTTCGAATAATCTAATACAATAGAGTGATTCTTTTGTGCCAGGATGTTTTCCTTCTAATTAAGGTCCGATAATGTAAATTGGTGTGAGCGTCTGCTTGTTATTTTTGTGTCATAATATCGTCATCTTGTACGAGAAAACCTTTTGTGGTGAGGTAATAATACCTCTCCTTTCAAAATCCCAGATGAACTCTTAACAGCAGGTTAGAGTTCTTTTTAAAGTAAATTGTCTTTCTGGACTTCACATCGTTCCTAATTCTTCTGTTTTTAAGTGATCGGAGTATAACCCAAAATTTTCAGCTGGATAAAACTCCAGAAGTCCATAAGTAATTATAATTCCTAATTTGACTGTATTAAGCATAAATTATATTTCCTCTATTCCTCCTTTTTTTTTTTAAATCAGAATGATGTTCAGAATATTAGCCACCAAAGTTAGTGACTGTATTTGTAATAGATTTTTTTTTCTTCCTCTTTCTGGAATATTTGTTAGGTTTTCTTCAAAGAAATTTTCCTGTATATCTTGGAAACTTCTACTAGCTCATTTGATCATAAATGGATGGTTATACAAACGCTGACAAGGATATGTGCAGGTATTCAGGACATTTGGTTCTAGTTTTGACATTTTTATGCTAAAGAACAAAACTGTACTTGCCTTACATTGAATGCTCTAGTTTTTGTTCCAAGTTTGACAATGTCACTTTGTTTATAGATGCCCAGAGTGTAGTGGATATCTACGTGAACTATGATTGTGATTTAAATGCAGCAAATATATTTGAAAGGCTGGTTAATGACCTATCAAAGATTGCTCAAGGAAGGGGTAGCCAAGAACTCGGCATGTCCAATGTGCAGGTAAAAATTCCGCCAAACTTAATGAAGCTTAGGGTTCTTCGCATGATGGGTTAAGACTAAACTCATCATTCCACTGATGTACTGCTTTTGAAATCTTTTCTAGGAATTAAGTTTGAGAAAAAAAGGATTGGAATGCCTAGTATCAATCTTGAAGTGCATGGTGGAGTGGAGTAAGGATCAGTATGTAAATCCCAATTCTCAGACAACACTTGGTAAGACGTGAGATGTGTTTCTTCTGGCTTTAGTAAGAAGATATTTTAGGAGTTTAGTGCATTTTTCCACTATTTTGATACTGTTAGTGTCCAGCTTTTTTGTTTTTTCCCCACCTTTGGTAAGTTTGGATTGGTGTCATTTGAACAAGTTGTCTTTTCTTAATTGTATGAATACCTATTTTCTGTATTTCTAATTTTAAAAGGATCACAAAACTTGCTTTGAAGCTCCCCTGATTTCATCTGACTTCATAAAATTACTTCTGAAGCAAGCTGGATGGGGAGCTCTGTTTTCTTGTCCTTTTTTTTTTAAAGTAATATGTAGCTATGGAACTTTCAGTGTTGTAAGCAGTGAAGTAACTAAATCTTTACTTGTTTTGATCTTGTTTCCATCCGACCTGAGGTGAAAAGTACTAAGGTTATGCCAAAATTTTCAGATTAAGCACTTGAAGTTGATAGGTGAAGTAATAACCTTTTTAGAGGTGGTTAGCACAGCTGGCTTTGTCAACTGAGAGCACCAGCTCCACAGCATTTCTGATCATCAGCACTTTTAGACACTCCGTTTCGAAAACTTTAAAACAGTGTGATTCGCTTTGGGTCAAAAGAAACATCAGGCTTGGAAATAAAAGGAAAGGTCTGTAATTAAGTTTCTAAAGTGTTGTGGTGGCTTTTTTTCACAAGAGCCTACATATGACAGTAGTAATTTAAGACTTAAATTTTAAGTATGATGAACTGAAAGAATCCTTCTTGATGCCTTGTAGTGATTTTTTTTTTCTGGTTATTTGACCAAATAAAGCAAAATCAGATATTTATATAAAAATAAATAGGTAGTTGAATATAACCCTAGTAAATTTTAGAAACCTTCAGAGAAGATTTGAGGAATAACTTGTGATTTTAATCTTTTCACTGTATGTATTTTGTATGTGTGTAACCCTTTCCAATTTATAGGCCAAGAAAAACCCACAGAACAGGACAGCAATGAAACCAAACATCCTGAGACAATTAATAGATATGGAAGCTTAAATTCCTTGGATTCTACTGCTTCATCAGGAATTGGCAGTTACAGCACACAGATGTCTGGCACTGACAACCCAGAGCAATTTGAGGTCCTAAAGCAACAAAAGGAAATAATAGAACAAGGAATTGACTTGTGAGTGCCCTTTTATCACCCGTGGGAGGGTGGATTCTTTTGGAGCTATGAAGATTCCTGGGCTTTTCTTCCTTCTCCTAATAGATACTCATCTTGTGTTAGGAAAAAAACTCTGGATGTAGCAGCACTTCCTCTGGTGAAAGAGTGCTGAATGGTGTCCCCTTTGGAGCCTGTCAACAGTGTTTTGTGTTAACCTAATTCCTCACAGCTAGAAGATGAGTACTCTGAATGTTTGTTCTTTTTTTCTCCAGACGTGCTTGTCTAAAACCAGAATTTTTATATTTGGATAGAAAGAACATTGAACTCGTGATCAGTTGAATACGACCCATTTTAGTGTACACATTACTGATGAAAGTGCCTGTATGCTTAAGCTGATGCTTCCTTATAATTAACTTGTCATAATTAGAACTGGAGGATAGTAGAATTTCTTAGTGCAGTCTGGCATAAATCTTCTGTGTGATTTCAGCTTTGTCACCTTACCTCCTCTGTGAGGCGACTTTATTTAAAAATAATTTTTCTGTTCTCAGACCCTGAACAAACAGCCTTTAGGGTTTCAGTTTCTTTCTGTTACCTGGTTTCTTGTCTTGTACCTTTCTGTTCTTACAGGCAACTCATGGATTTCTTGATTGTTTCGTACCAATTAAACCAAAAGGCAACAGAGTGTTATTGTTCCTTACCCAAGGCTTTGTTATTTCTCTGAAATATTTTTTTCTTTACAAGTGCCAGAGTAAACGATAGCATTCAGCTATCTTTACTCTGAGCTGCTTGGATGCCGTGCCAGCAGTTATGTAGCAAAGTGGAAAAGGAGGCTGTTTGCAGGAGGAAAAAAACCCATAAAATCATCCAATGATGAAGGAAATAATCGTAAAAGGGAATAGCTCATTTCTATCTAATACACAATTTGATAAAGAAAAGATATTTATTACATAGATTTTCAATACCTCATCCAAAATTATTGGATGTTTTTACTTAAGCTGGTAAGGCTTTGTACATGGGTAAAAGGGTAATTCTCATTCCATTCTGTTCTTGATTGTACAGATTCAATAAGAAACCAAAGAGGGGGATTCAGTACCTGCAAGAACAAGGGATGCTTGGCACTACCCCAGAAGATATTGCTCAGTTCTTGCATCAAGAAGAAAGATTAGATTCAGTAAGAAAATAATTTTTCTGATGGTTGTTTTTGTTCATGCTGGTGTTGTTCTACTAATTGCAAATCACACGATAGTGTGTTTAAGTGTGTAACCTTATTGTACAATGAAAAAAAGGAAACGTCTCTCTCTTCTAAAATTCATAAGCTCAAGGAATTTGGAGCGTGCATTAGGGCTATACCCTGTGCTGTATGCGTCCTGCGGTTCATTGAAGCGTAAGGGAAAGGCTGACCTAGTTGAGCTGACTCAAAACTTGTACTTAGTTGCTAATATAGCTAGAAGCAGCTTACTAAACTGTAAATATTTTAGTTCAACAAGAGACTGCCGGAATTAACTGTCCTTCAGAGATGGCTAAAAAATAACGTGGTGCAACAACATGGAAAGCGTTTTTTGCCGCCTCCCAAAGGGAAGTTATTTGGTTTAGATTAGCTCTTCGATTTTATTTACAGCTAGCAGCTGTTGCTGGACTTGGAAGGTGCTGCAGTGTTTGTGAGAATATCTCATGTTGGTATTGTCCTGAAAAACTTTAGCTTTCTGAAATGCCAACTCTGCACCATTGTGCTTTGTAACCACCCCCTTTGTTTTCTGAGGAAGGACGTGCATATGCCCACGCTTGCAGCTGTGACCAAAGTCACAGATTTCAGTATTAGAACTTAGAATCAGCCATCAAAACAAATTTTTAACCTCAGCTTACATTCACGGGCATCTTTATCTGAATGCACAGTGTTTTTCACTGTACTGTGTTGTGTTGACAGTGGTCAACTGGGATGTATTTGAGTACCAGCTATTTATATTTGAGCATCACTTTCATGTGTCTGAGTCTGTACTCTACTGAGAATAAAGTTGAGTTCAGTAAGCTCATCATTCCTGTATTAATTCTCCTAACTACAAAAATCATTACAGCTGAGTACAATCAGTCACCGATAATATTAACCAGTGGAAAGTTGGCAGGTATGAGCATGCCGGACCGTTATGGTGGAAGACCAAAATAATTTGCTTTAGAGAGTAGAAGAGAAGCAAGAATATGTGTTACTTAACTGCATAGAGGCCAGTCTTTTTGTGAAACATGAGCAGTATGACTGTTGTTCTTATTTACTATTTTCCCGCCCTGTGTAAATGCACTAGTTTGTCTTTTCTATTCTTATTTTAGACTCAGGTTGGGGAGTTCCTGGGAGACAATGATAAATTTAACAAAGAAGTCATGTATGCATATGTAGACCAACACGACTTCTCAGGGAAGGATTTTGTTTCAGCTCTTCGCATGTTTCTAGAGGGATTTCGTCTTCCAGGAGAGGCTCAAAAAATTGATCGCCTGATGGAGAAATTTGCTGCCAGATATTTAGAGTGTAACCAAGGGTAAGGCATACTTTGTCTTCAGAGCTTTGGAAGGCTGACTAACAAGTAAAAAAATCCTAGCATGTAAATTTGCTTTTCTTTTTCTCCTTTCCCCCTCCAGGCAAACACTTTTTGCTAGTGCAGATACTGCATATGTTTTAGCTTACTCAATTATCATGTTGACAACAGATCTTCACAGTCCACAGGTACGTTGCTAGAAAAGTATTTGTCTTAGGTATCTAAATTTTAGGATTTGTGACAATGTAGTTGTAAAAACTTGATGCTCAATTTAACACCAATACGTGCGTAAGAATTGTGACATCTTAAATTTGTGCATCTTTTAAGTAACAGTATTGTGTTTCATGGGTGTTGAGATTTTTAAGTTGTTTTGGTTAGACCTTTCTGTAAGGTATCATTTCCCTACTCTGAATAGGAGGAGTTGCCTGGATTTGCTTTCATATTACAGGACTCACAGTGGCGATCCAGGAGCTGAAGATCTAACTGCCTGCAGTCAAAGCCAGAACTTGTGTAATTCCTTACCCATTGATTTTAACACAAATCTGCTCCTGGTTTCAGTCTGTTTGAAAAAACAATGCAGCTTTATTTTGATAGATACAGCTCACTTCTATACAGTGCATAGCCATCATCATTTAGCTAAGCAAAATCTGGAAAGAGTTGAACTCTTGTGAGATTATGGGATTATTTTTAAAATTGATAGCTTGGTCTGTATGACAAGATAAACCACTCTTTTTGGTAATGTACATCTAATTGATCTGTGGATCCTACTGAATGTTTGAGTGTTGTAATGTTCACATGGCCTTGCATTGTTTTTTAGATTTGACAGTGTAGTGCTGCCTATGTTGGATACTTAAAAATGTCATCTGAATCAGCAGATTTGTCCTTGATGGTAACTTCCCATCTGTTTAGCTGCTTTATAGGCAGCACTGTAGCTGCTATGAACATGCCTCATTTGTTGATATTAATAGCTTATTTCTGGGTTTCAGGTTAAGAATAAAATGACAAAAGAACAGTATATTAAAATGAATAGAGGTATCAATGACAGCAAAGATCTGCCTGAAGAATATTTGTCTGCGATCTATAATGAAATAGCTGGAAAGAAGATTTCAATGAAGGAAACAAAAGAACTAACAATACCCACAAAATCCAGTAAACAAAGTAGGTAGTTGCAATGTTAGCTTTCTTAAAAGTGCTGACTTTTCACTTTCCTGAAGCTATCTTCAGGGACTCAGAATGAGTCCTAATTTCTAATCTCATATCCTTTTACTTTTAACATAAATGCATGATGCTAAATTCAAATCTGTGTTAAATACAACTGCTTATTTTCACTTCTCTTGGCATCTATATTCCTGGTATTTGGTGCATTGACCGTGGAGAAGACAGGTTTTGCTGTAGAACAGCAACATAGGGAAATGCTTTTGAGGGATTTATAAAGTAACAGTGTTGCTGATAGGCATAGGACTTGACGTTTTTCCAACATAGTCAGATTTGTGTACTTTTAAGTCCTCCATTAGTCCTATGAACAGATTGCTTACAGGAAATTTGCATCTGAAAAAAAGTCTCTCTTCTTTTCAATATTCGTTCAATTAATGCAATGTTTTTATTGTAATTTTAAAGAAGCTGATTAGTACATTCTGCTTGGGTTTCACTTTCTTGATGAGATGGAGTTTGCATTACCAAAATGAATATGTGATTAAGATAGTTCTCCCTCAGGAAAAGGATGTCCACTTGTTTGTTGTTATTTTCCTTGCTGATGGATTGCTCTGAAACTTAGGTTCACTTTGAATTTAGCTTAGTGGATGTGATGCTTATACTGTCAGTTGAGGTGATGGAGCAGAAGTGTTGTGCAAATCTTAAAATCCTCTAAAGGTTTAAAATTAGGTTACATTTCATACATATGTTTTCCTTAAGTTAATTTTTGTCTATATTGTAAAAGAAGTATCTTGCTAGTGTGGTAATTTCAGGATGTAAAGGTAATATAAAAAAAATGCATCCTGGTAGGGCACTTCATGAAAAATGTGGAATTAATGTATTCCTGAAGATACCACTGCTAAATATGCATACATGAGAGGAAAAAATGTATTTACAGGTGTTGCTAGTGAAAAGCAGAGAAGACTGCTTTATAATTTGGAAATGGAGCAAATGGCTAAAACAGCGAAAGCTCTTATGGAGGCGGTGAGCCACGTTCAGGCACCTTTTACGAGTGCAACACACCTGGAGCACGTGAGACCCATGTTTAAGGTGAGATACATGTTCAGATACTTACCTAGAGTATCACAAAATTTCTTAATACAAAATACTGACTGAAAGGGTTTGTTGAATATGTTAAAGATTTGTGCCTGCTGTGTTTTGATTATTTTGTAAGTTATTTAACTTACTACAGGGTTTTGAATCTTCTATTCTGGTTTAATTTACCCTGGGATTTAAGAAGTTTCTATGCTGATAGAAGCAGCATCTTGATATAGAATCATAGAACAGTTTCATCTGGAAGAGACCTTCAAGATCATCAAGTCCAACCTTTTCCTAGCCCTGTGAACACCACTAAACCACGTCCTTCAGTGCAACATCTACCCTTCTCTTAAACAGCTCCAGGGATGGTGACTCAACCACCTCCCTGGGCAGCCTGTTCCAATGTCTGACAACCCTTTCAGTAAAGAAATTCTTCTTAATATCCAACCTGAACCTCCCCTGGCACAACTTAAGGCCATTTCCCCTTGTCCTGTCACTCACTACTAGGGAGAACAGACCAACCTCTGCCTCTCTACAACCTCCTTTCAAATACTTGTAGAGAGCGATAAGGTCTCCCCTCAATCTTCTATTCTCTGGACTAAACAGCCCCAGATCCCTCAGCTGTTCCTTATAGGACATACGTTCCAAATCCTTTACCACCTTGGTACCTTCTCCAGCACTTCAACGTCCCTCTTGTAGTGAGGGGCAATGTAATGGAGGGGTTAGGAGGAGTATAGGACAAAGCTATAAAGAGTAGTTAAAAACTTGAAATTACAGGATTTTTATTTGAAATGTAGTCAGAACAACAGATTTATAAAGGTGAGGAATTACTAATCCCAGTTCATTGTTTGAGTCCCCCTTCTAAGGGGGATTACTTTGTTGCATTTTTTGGGGAAAGTTATCAGCACAAACCCTGTACTATTGTCTAATGCAGATTAATATTTCAGAAAGGCTAGGACTACCGTCTTGCTTCGGTGGAGGTAACTTGTGTTAAACTATTATTCTAAATACTTGTCATTGCTCTTGTGTAGGTGCAAAGCTATCTGATCCCAAATGCCTCTTCCATACTAGGGATTGATAAATACTGAGTACATTCAGTAGTGCAATTGGATATGGTCTTTGGTGTTAACTAACTCATGACAGTTAACTGCCACTAAAATAAACTATTGTGCCCTTACTAGGCACTCTCGTTTGCTGCTCTTGTGCTGTATTGGTCCTCATATGACCTCTTTGTGAACTGCTCCAGGGAGGTAAAGTCTTAAATTCCTACTGTTACATTAAACAAGTTGTTCCCTGGAATGATGTGCTGTCATGTCAAGTTGAGCTTCAGGCTCAAAAATCACAGAGTCATAGAATCATTTAGGTTGGAAAAGATCTTGAAGATCTTTGGGTCCAACTTGACACTGCCAAGTCCACCACAAACCGCATTCCTAAGTGCCATGTCTACATGTTTTTTAAATACTTCAAGGATTGGTGACTCAACCAGTTCCCAGGGCAACCTGTCCCAATGCTTGACAACACTTTTACAGAAGGAGTTTTTCCTAATACCCCATCTAAACCTCCCCTGGCACAAATTGAGGCCATTTCTTCTCATCCTCTCACTTTTTACTTGGGTGAACTGACTGACCCCTGCCTTGTTACAGCCTCCTTTCAGGTGGTTTGTAGAGAGCAATAAGGTCACCTCGCAGCATCCTTTTATCCAGGCTAAAGAACTCCAGTTGAAACTGCCCCTCATAAAACTGTTTCTCTAGACCCTTCACCACTTTTGTTGCACTTCTTTGGAAATGCTCCAACACCTCAGTATCTTTCTTTTATAGCGAGGGCCCCAAACCTGAACACAGGATTTGAGGTGTGGCCTCACCAGTGACGAGTACAGGGTGACAGTCACTTCCCTGGTCCGGCTGGCCACACTGTTTCTGATACAGGCCAGGATGCCATTGGCTTTCTAGGTCACCTGGGCACACTGAGGATGTAGCTGTAAGACTGCTGTCCATGAGGCAGACTTCTGAGTTGTTTATTGCTATATTAATAAAAGTAGGATAGTACTCTGCGTGTATGGAATGATGCTAAATGAAGCCCTTGCTTAAGATCTACTTTCAAGGTGTCAGGGTGTCACTTAGCAGAGATGTACTGTACATAATTTCTCTCCATTGACTTCTTTTAAGGCTGAAACAATTTGCACGTGTAGGCATCTGTAAAAATTTTGCAGACTGTTTTTTGTTAAGATACCGGAACTTTTACGCTGTAATATTCCTGACCTTTAGTATCTGAAAAGTATGTTTGCAAAATCCATTTTTAGAGGAACAAAATGAAGCGCTGGGGTCAGTTAATGCCCTAAACATCTTTTGTGAAGGCACTGAGAATTAGAAGCCATCTTACTTGGGGTTGGTCATAAACTAATGGAACAAAGGACAATGCAACATCTTGGACAGAGCTGTCTTCTCAAAAATGTGAGAACTGTGGAAGTTAAATATTTGATTTCATATTTTTTGTTTAGACTTCTCAATTTTTATTTCAGCAAAACTTTATAAATTTCTGGGTATCTCTTTCACGTATTGATGCCAGTGTAAAATTTGTCATTATAACTGTATTTTGGATAGATCTGTGATAATGATTAAAACAGAACAAAAAAATCACTTTTTGCACCCAACTAAGCAGCCCAAAATGGATTGTCTATTTTAGAGACTTAATTTTCACCTTTAATGACAAAACAGTCTGTTACAAATAATAGTAGTAATCCAGATGTAAAGCATACTATACAGATCTCTAGGTAGTTCATAAGCAAATATTTCAGTTCTTCAATTTTTAAGGTCAGTTTGAGTTTCAGTAGGAATGAAAAATTAGAAAAAGAAGGGGTAAGAAACATGCAATTCTGGGACATACAGTCATAGAATAGTTTGGGTTGGAAGGGACCTTTAAAGATCATGCAATAGAGAATTAAGTCCTGGATCTAGGAATTTATCTAATGTCTTTAATACTGTCCGAGAGCTATGGTTTTGTGTGTGCAAGTGTTTTAAAAGCTTTCCTGGGGCAGTTCTTTTGGAATCGCTGGCTTAAAGGAAACCCAAGCTCTGTGGTGCATCATTTCATTATGAAATTAAGCATGAAATCTGTTGCTCTCTGCTGTGCCCATTGACTCGGTATTTAATCTGGAGCGACTTAATCTGGTAAAATTATTTCTAAAATCATTCAGCGTACCTGTAGGGGTTTCCTCTCCATAACCACTTGGAGTTATGGCAGGAACCTTTGCATCTTCTGATTGGTTTTTCTGCCTGTGGGGAGAAGAAGCCTCAAAGTCAAGGACAGGATCATATGGACTCTTCTGCAGTCAGTAACTGTTAGTTGAGTGTATTGTCCTTTCAATCCCATCTGAGGCAAGAGGAGCAAGATAAGAAACTTCAGCAGTGGCTTAGACACAAAAAAATGGAGAGTCAAAGGTTACAAAATTAAGAGCAAAGAGATTAAGGAAGGAGTCGTGGCCTGTCTCTTGTTGTTTTAGCGTAATTTGAGTGGGATTGGTATTTACTGCCCTATTTCACTCTGCCCTTTTTTCCTTCTGGTATTATCAGGACAAACTCATATTAAGTAGGTATTTTTGATCATATACTGTGTTGATTCTTGCAATAACTGTTGCTCTATCTTTATTTCTCTCTGTTAACAGATAAAGGTTAATCCTGGGAATAGCAAAACTCTAATGGTCATCTAACTGACAAAGCTTTGGGGTTTGTTTTTCCTCCAGCTATCTCAAGATAGTTGTGTGTGTTGGTTGCTGAGAGAGAGAGTATCTGAGGGGAGCATCAATCTGCATTACTTTTATTAAATGTCTTACGTCTCTTCTAACCATGCTTCCATCTAATTCTATGTCTCATGTCTATTCTGTTCCATTTCCTTTTTGGCAAAAGGTGACTTCAAGGTGACTTCAAAGTTACTGATGTGCATTAGGGACGGAATTTACACTTTAGCACGTTCCCTCCATATCCTAACAGATGCTGATGTAACTTTTATTTTGCGTACTTTCCAGTTGGCATGGACACCTTTTCTAGCTGCATTCAGCGTGGGTCTACAGGACTGTGATGACACAGAAGTTGCCTCTCTTTGCTTGGAGGGTATACGATGTGCAATCAGGATAGCTTGCATTTTCAACATTCAGGTAAAAAAAATAAGTTTGAGACAATAGTTTGACTTATCTACCAGCAAAATATTAGTGGGGTTCTACGAGTCCTCATTGCTGAGGCTTTGCACTGCAATACCTAGAGGCTGCCTGCTTATGCAGTTTGTATTTCATCTGATATTTGACAGGACATATTTTAAATAAAGTGATCTTCATTTTTCCTGTTGTTTTGTAACAAGTGTTGCCGTGCCTATATACTGAAGTTTTGTTTCCCCATAAGTTGACTACTTTTATGTCAAAATATTCTTTCTAGCTCTGTTACAAAGCTGCTTAGTTTTGCTGTGGTGTTTCATAAAATGAGTCTTTCTCTCCTGTTTCATAAGTAAAACAGTGAACTGTTTTTGAAATGCTTTCCTTAACTTCAGAGAGATTATACTAATCTCAGACTTATACAGTTGGATACCATTTTAACAATTATGGCACTGGAAATGTCATTCCTGATGTAATGCATGAATGTGTCTTGCATTAAGCACAATGCCAAGAATTCCAGGCTATTTGGCTCCAGAGGGTAATTCTCAATAAACTTGAGCTTTTTAATATTTTTTTTATTTATTTTCAAATCATCAGCAGTGAATGTACTGTTACACTGCTGTAGACTATTAGTTAATGAGTGGAGCATTGGCCTGCTCTAAGTCCCTTACAGGGATAGCTGAGGCGAGGAGTAAGCAAAATTCGTGTTTGACGTTGCATTATTTCTTGTGCACGTTGAACACATGTTTGTGTTTAGCAAATTAGATGACATTTTGTCACTGATGCTGAAAGAGACATTGGGACCTCTGATACAGCTGCTTAAAAAAGCCTGTTTGAGATGGTGTAAGATTTCCTTCCTTGGTCTTTCCACTTCATCCTGCCCCCCGCAACGGAACGGACTTAGAAATTTGATTAACAGAGACTTCCCTGGAGCCTGCAGCTGCTCAGTGAAATTCACATTCCTGTTATTTTTGTTCTTAAACTGTTGAGCAGCTGCAGAGGTTAGCTCCCAGTCTGCAGTGGTCTGCCTTGGGTGGGGAGGGCAAAGACACATTTGCTTTAAGGTCCCCGTGCTCCAAGAGTATCCTTCCATCGCCTTGGGACAAACTTGATTGCACTGGAGGTGTTTCAAACATAACACTTCTCGTTTCCTGAGATTGAAAAACTTAGATTGCAAATACAGAAACAAGTGATACTCCTTCTTGGTTTCCAGCGGGAATTCTGTTTTTTCGATATCATTAAAAGCAATACTGGTTTGTTCATGATTTCAGTACGTTACAGGATGATTTCATTGCACAAGGTCCTAATTAGATGGCAGCGTTGTCTGACTTCAGATGCCAGATAACTGGTGGTTTGAAGGTCACCGGCAGATCTGTCCTTAAGCTGACTTAGGGATCTTTTCTGCTGGAAGCAGGTTTTTCCACTTGTGCTTAACTGGTGCTGGCAACTTTTCTGTTTCAACGTACAAAAGTTAAAGTTGGTGTCTCAGAACAGTTAACAGTAGTTTACACACCTTGAGAGATAATGGAGGCTTTTAGTTTTAAGATTACCATTGTACATGATATAGTTTAAGCTATGCATGTTCACCTCTGAAACCTCAATTAAATATTCCACTTTTTAATTATTTATGCTTTTAATCTTAAACTGTCACACAGTCTGGCTTTTGTCTTTAAGCATCTGGGACAAGGTATGCATCAAAAGGATGTACTTCATTTGCTTATATCATCTGCGTCTGCTTTCTGGTTGATGGACACATTGTTTAGTTGTTTTTCTCCTACTTTGATGGCTTAGAAAAAGGGGCAGAGGGGGAATATCTGTATGGAACAGAGAGGGAAGGTAGGACAATAGCACATTCTCCTTTTGCAGAAGATACATAGTTTGTAGACTCTTACGTTTGCTTAATTGTCTTTCCATGAAGCTTCAATTTTTCTGTGCTTGTGCATTATTTGCTGTGCCTCTGCCAGCATACCCAATAGAGGTGGTAGGGTTCAAATGTGGCAGCTGTGCTGTGTGGGAGAATCAGTCCCTTCTGTCATTGACCACTGCTCTGGCATTTGTGTTTCCTCTGAAACAGTTTTCCTGGGCTTTATTTATTTATTTTAAATATTTTGTATTTGGGTTGATTATGTGCTCAATGATTTTTCATTTCAAAATAATCTTAAAACATCTAAATGGCTAAACATATTTCACAGCTGTCACTTTCTTTTTCTCTGGTATATAACCATTGCACTATGGCCTTTGGATCATACATAACAGGAGAGTAAAATATGATTCTGAGCTCAACCTTTTTACCATTGTAATCAGTTTCATAGGGAGTTTCCTTTGGAGTTTATCGATACCCTGTATGTAAAAATCAGGTGCCTACATGTGGAACATTCTTTTTTGTGACATTAATTTAATCAGCCTAGATTATAAATCACTTGCTGTTTACTCCACCCATGACAGTCTCACCTCACAAGCTTCTGAGGTGCTCCAAATGGCATAGATTAGATCAAATATCTTTTGAGCAGTTTTGTGGAATTCATGTGCTTTTTAGGTATATTATTTAGATTCTGTTTCAAAAAACATCCTACAACTTGAGAGAGTCTGCTAAGGCAGCATTTTCAGTGTAGGTCAGGTATAGTACAAGAATATTACAGGTTTAGCTAAGAAGCCACCTTTCTTCTGAAACAGCACCCTGTTTCTCCAAGTAGCCCCCAAAAAATCCCCAAAGACCAAAGCCAGAGACCTGACAACAACCTATGTGTTCTGTGCTGTCAGACACGACACTTCACATTCCTGAACAGAGGGAGCCTGATTTTATCGTACCATTTACTAGAGATGAACATGAGATATTTTCACTATGTAGAATGTTTTGGAAATTCAGTTCTAGGAAGAGAAAGACAAACGATGTAGTTGCTGAAATCACACATTGCACTAAGAATAAGGAACAGAAAATACTTACAAGATTATTTGTTTTTCTCTCTTATTCGTAGCTTGAAAGAGATGCCTATGTCCAAGCGTTAGCAAGATTTACGTTACTTACAGTGAGTTCTGGTATTACTGAAATGAAGCAGAAGAATATTGACACAATTAAAACCCTCATCACTGTGGCTCATACAGATGGAAACTATTTAGGAAATTCCTGGCATGAGGTACAAAAGTCACTTGTATTTAAAGTGTAAGAAAGCACATGTACTGATTTTGAACACAGTAGAGTGTACTTGTTTGTGTGTAAAGACAAGTATATACTGAAGTGCCGAGTGGCAGGTATCTACTTTGTACATACATTATGGAGAATTGCACACTGTGCAGCCAATTAAAGTAGCAAAACATGTCAAAGTGAGAAATAAAATTGAGAGACTAATCCAATGGTGTTAAAGTTAATACTAATTTTAGAAGAGCAAAACTACATGTCTGACCTTGAGTGTTTAGAATTCTTGTAAAGACCTTTCTGAAGATTGATTGATTGATTGCTTGATTTACTGTTGCAAACTACTTTTAGTTGATAAACAACTTCCTTATTCTCTGGAGTAGATTCTGAAATGCATCAGTCAGCTTGAACTGGCACAGTTAATAGGAACTGGAGTAAAACCTCGCTACATCTCAGGGACAGTGCGTGGCAGGGAAGGATCTTTTACTGGAACAAAAGATCAGGCACCTGATGAATTTGTGGGGCTGGGACTGGGTAAGTAACACAGATACAAAGTATTTCACTGAACTGGCTTTGTTCAGACAGATATTACAGTTTGTCTTTCATTTTCATTATTGTTGACTGTGGGGTTTGGATATGAAACCATGAGGTAGTCCTTGTAAAACTGTCTCAGGCTTTGCGTAGATCTACTCCTATTTCTGGAATATTTTTTTTTTGCTCTGTTAAGTATTATTGCTAGGATGGGAGAGTAGGAAATGTGAGAAAATGATACTCCATTAATTTCTATTAAAATATAGCTGACCAAGTAAGAGTGGACTGCTGTTAGTACAACCAGATTTAGTAATATTGCAACGTTCGTGCACCAAGTATTTTATCAAAGAGGCAAATTAGTAAGTGTGAGTTAAGCATCGTATTATGAAACTTTGTGAGAAATGTGCAGTATACAAACCAAGTGGGAGATTAATTTAGCTCAAATTCTGAACTTCTGTTTGTTCCTCTTCTGGTTACTGTAGTGCTGAATGCCTTTTCCAGGTTGACCTGCGACACAAAATTTACTTTGTAAATGAGATGATACTCCTATCCTTCTGGAAAAATATAGCACTCTTACCTTAAATTATATTTAAAAGGCTTGGGGTTTTTTTTTAGTTATTATTTATTTTTATCAATGGGAACACAGGTAAAGACATACAAGTGTAGAGTATCAGAAAACTATGGAAGTTTGAAGGAAGTATATTTCACTGTTAGAACGTTTCAATTTTAGTATGATGCTCAGTGTCTTCTGCATTTTGAACAACTTCACCCACTGCCGAGGAAAAGCTTTGCATTCCCTCAATTTTTCGTGTAACTTTTTTTTGTTTTCTGAGGAGTAATGATTATTTTACTTGTTTCCCTGATCTTAGCCCTTGACTGGTCCTAATTGGCTGGCTTTGTGTCCTCCTCAGGCAGTTGTGGAGGAGTTTTTAAATTATTTTTCAGTCAGTCCTTTTGTTTCCATTGTGCTCTCCTTTGGCCTGCCCCTACATACTGCCCTCACCTTGCCAAGAGTTACCGAAGGGAAACCTTCTGCTTGGAAATTAATGCGTCTGCCAGCGTCTCGTATACTGAGCTTCTTCTTGCCCTTGTAACAGGCATTCTCCACTTTAGTGTTCCCCAGTGACCCATCCAACTTTGCTATTTCCAAATACTGGCAGTTTCTCTACGCTAAGTGACTGGCCTTTAGAAATTTTAAGCCCTAATAGCTTAGGAATGTAAACTGTAGTCAGGTGTCTCTAAATCATGCTTGTTAGCCGTTGGTGTAGATCCAGCTCATAAAGATTTTGTCTCCTCTGTCAACTGCATTTCTAAGGAAAGTAGTCTGGGCCAAATGCATTAAATGTTTCTCTCTGAATTGAATTTCTGGAATGCTTGTTACAGTGCACATACGGAAACTTCAACCTCTTTATTAAAAAAAATCATAAAATAACATTCCTCAGGCTTACAGGAAAATGCCTGACTCAAAGGAGTTCGGTTTTCATGAATTTAGGAGTCATTAGAACACAGTCATTTTCTCAACTGTTTTGGTTTTTTGCACTCTTTTCCGCAAAATGTTGCCTATACTTTTAACTTTCTGTGATCGCTCTGAAGCATGAGAAACCTTCCTATAAACCTAAGTTCCTGTGAAGAACCCGTAGTGCCTATCTCCATATATACAGCCGCATAAAATACAGGAAAGCAGTTGTTTAATTAGAGTCAGTGAAGTTGCACTCTGGTGACACAGAAGTTTCATCTTTCAAACCGGCATGCAAAAGCAGATGTGCATAAATAGAAGCATTCTCTCTTAGCTGAAGTTCAAAGTGTGTGGGTTTTAAAAAACAAAACAAAACAATGGCAGAAACTCCTTTGCTCATTTACTACCTGAACAGGAATTCAGGTGTGCACTTCTCAGGCATCTGCACTTCAATGTCTTCATCACTCTTGTGTTATCATCCTGCTGTGGGCATTTGGTGTTTTACCTGAAAATTTAAGGCATCAGAATCGTCTATCTCTTTGCTGCTTTGGTAGGAAAGTTGTCTGACGTGGAGTTGTAGCTGTGAAGTTCAGCTTTCTTCCGCTCTAGTTTCTATACACAAAGTCAGAAGACCAAAACTGCTGCTGTGAGCAGGTCCTAGCCAAAGCGTACTTCTTAGGTAACCTGAAATCCTTTTTGAACAACGGAAATCTGAAGAATCATTTTCTCATATGGCAGAATTATACAGGGGGCTCTATTTCATTGTAGAAGATCCCATAAGTGTTGGAATGTAAATCTACTGGCTGCTCAGATTTTCCTGCATTGATTCGAAATCCTACGATCATAAGAAATTCTGCCATAAACTGGCAGAGTTGCTTGGGGTTCCCTGACATTTTGGAAACTTGTTGGTATGTTTCTTATCTGACACTTTACCAGCGTTCAGGCTAATTCGTACTGGCAGCTTCTATGCTTACAAGAGAAGTCTTGATCAAACCCAACAATACTATAAGTTGCTGAAATACTAGTATAAGGTCATGCATATGTGTGTGTATGTACAGAAAGGTCCATAAATACCCCAGAAAAATACTTCAGGTGGATTGGTTTAATCTAGATTTGACAGCCAGTCGTCTCCAGCCACCTCCCAAGTGTGGAGAGAGTCTGAAACATGAGAACTGCTTGTTCCTGCAGAGCTCTGCGAACAGAACTTCTGGCTTGCTTGCAGTTCTCCCCTCTCTTTTTAATAGGCTGCCTAAGGGAAAAAAAAAATACAGCATACATGGAATTATCCAGAATGGTTGGAAGAGTCTCGTGCTTTTTTTGGTGGTGGACTTAGAGATTGCCAGAAATTTCAGAAATTCGCTCACTATGAAGTTAGCATTTTCTTATCATGAGCTTTCCCAGGTGCAAGTTACAGTTTCTAGACTCCAAAATGAATATTGCTATTTTTATATACAGATTTTTCCTTGTTATCATTAGATGATAATTTCACTGTACTTGAGATGTAGCTTTAAGGTAGAATTTTGGTGGAAGCTCATCTCTGTGAATGATTAAGAACAAAACCTGTCAGGATGGATTTACTCACTTCTAATAAATTGTGAAAAGTTCTCATCAGTGCGATACTCTCTGTCACGTGTTGTATGTTTTCAGTACCAAAATTAATGAAGACCCATTGAAAGATGGAGAGAGAAAGGTGGTTCTTGTGCTTTTGAAATTTTTTTCACTTGTAAATATTTATACAGTTGTTCCAGATAAGGACAATTTTCTGGGACTAATATGCTTTATTACAGGAATAATCTAGAGAATTAGGGCTTAGGCTGACATGCAACTGTTCACTGAGGTGCCGAGCTGATGCACGGGAAATTAATAATGTACTTCTTTTAGTGACTTAAAAATACATTTAATTTTGCTGCTGATGGTACAATTTCTCTTCCTCTTTCTTCTCAGCCCATATTGTGTTGTCTCTTACCCATTTTTCAAATTTTGTTCACTGTAGTTGGTGGGAACGTGGATTGGAAGCAGATAGCAAGTATTCAGGAATCCATTGGTGAAACTAGCTCCCAAAGTGTTGTCGTTGCTGTAGACAGGTATTGTATTAAAGGTGCTGTTGCCACCTCAAGCTATTTATGCAATATTTGGAAACCCTGTGCTAATAATACAACATGATTAGTTTATCCCTGTTTGGAAAAAAATACATAAATATTACCTTATTAAAATGCTTTTTGGTTTTGTTGGATTTTTTCCTTTTTTTATGGGGCAAAAGTATTTTTGCAAGAAGGAACAGAACAAATATTAGGCAAGAAGCCTTTCTACGGATACAAAGTTACTACTGGAGAGCTGCAGAATGAATACTGCTCTACTGTCCAATGAATCTGGATTTGCTATATATAGTAACATACAGCAAATCTCATTTTGCCATGGTACAGGGAGCATTACTGATAGACCCTTTTTCTCCTAAATGTAATTACTGACTCCCTGCTTTCCTCTGCATTATGTAGATGTTATCTGAAATTACCAGAATTATTGCTCTAGTTTGCCTTTCTGTGAGTCATATTTTATCACAACAAGATTTGATCAGGCATTATACATATCATAAACATTCCTGTTTATATCATAAAATCAGACTGGCCTGTTACTGGATCTTGTTCTCTCGACGTATAAGAAATGTGAAAACTTTTTTTTTGTTACTGATTGTCAAAACTGACAATCACAAAAGGGTATCATGCTGAAGGCTTACAAGCATTTCTCTGACTAACTATGGGCAGCAAGATCGATGTCAGTTCAATGAAAGTCGCTTTGCATTAAGATCACATCAAGTAGACTGGAGGCTTAACATCAAACACATAATAGCTCCTTAGATTTGCAGCATTTTCTCCCCACTTCTTAATGGGAAGTGTTTCAAGTATCTGTTTGTCATGGCAAATAGGAATTGTGCACTCTGGAGAAGTTTGACTTTTGGTGCTTGAAGCAGGGCTGAATAGCTTATAAACTACTGATGTTATTCGTTGGTTGCTCTCGATGAGTGGATAGTATTAAAAGCAGTGCTCACCTCCCACTCTCCACACACATGCTCGTGGGAGTTTTTTTTAAATATTGGAAATATTAAATATTAGAAGTATTTTGTTTTCAAAGTTCAGTATTTTTCCATGATTGCCAGTTGTTTTTTGATAAATTAAAGTAGTCAGGGAGTGTCTGTATATCTTTTTAAACTTCATTAATACGTGTTTAATAGATTTGAAGAAATTGTAAAAATGTCTTAAACTTCACTTTACAGAATATTTACAGGATCTACAAGGTTGGATGGAAATGCTATCGGTAGGTTTTATACTTTTGTTCCCCCTCTCCCGCCCCTAAACTTGTAAAGCAGCTCTGTCTTAAGCCTTGGAAAAATACTGCATTAAAATCTGTGCTCACTTAACAGTGGATTTCGTTCGCTGGCTTTGTGCCGTATCTATGGATGAACTGCTGTCTGCTACCCACCCTCGAATGTTTAGTCTGCAGAAGATAGTGGAGATTTCTTACTACAATATGGGCCGGATAAGGTTACAGTGGTCTAGAATCTGGGAAGTTATTGGAGATCATTTTAATAAGGTATCCCCTTTAATGATTATACTGCGTGCTCCTTGAATTACCCATACATATAAGTTTTATTTAGAGATTTGCTGGAAAAGCGTATGCTCATCTGAATTAAACTGCCTTTTTTCTGTCCTCGTGTGTAAATAGCTTAAAACACAATAAAGATTGTAAAGCTGGGAAGGCCTGTGAGAAGGCAGAGGTACATGGTGTAATGGATGTAAAAGCAGGAGTATACATTAAAGTTATTTATCATGACCTGAGTTTAGAACTGTCTGCCTTTAGTTGTGTTCTGATTTTTGGGAGTGTTTTTTTACGAAGCTTGAGATAAGAGGTTGTGTTCTGTTCAAGTCTAAATCGACTTTTTGTCAGGTAAATGCTTGACGTGCATTTTTAATACAGTTTACTGAAGTCTTTCTAGAGAGCTTGCTTATCTTTAGAAAGTTTTATATGCGAGAGCATATAATGTAGAAAGCATCTGGAATTGGTTAGGGATTATTAATTTGCATTACCAGTGTGGTTTGTGGAATTGGCTACTGTTTAATTTTGTTACTTTTCCAGTACTGCCTAGTTCTCTGTTATCAAAGGTAAAGGCAGCTTGGGCTGAATCTAGAACAACTCTGATGCAGTCTTACTGTGTGTTTCTATTCTGTGTTATCAGGTTGGCTGCAATCCCAATGAAGATGTAGCTATATTTGCAGTAGATTCATTAAGGCAATTATCAATGAAATTCTTAGAAAAAGGAGAACTTGCTAATTTCCGATTCCAGAAGGACTTCCTAAGACCATTTGAACATATCATGAAGCGAAACAGGTAATAACATACAATTAACTGAATCACCTGCGATCATAAGCACCAGATTTGAAGTACATGTTTCGAATTGCTTTTGGATAATCAATTGCTGGAGAATTATGCTTTTCTTATTGATTGCATAATTTAGTTTAAACAATTGCTGTTTGTTACCTTAATGTAGGTCTCCCACGATTCGAGACATGGTTGTACGGTGTATTGCACAGATGGTGAATTCCCAGGCTGCTAATATTCGTTCTGGCTGGAAAAACATTTTCTCAGTGTTTCATCTGGCAGCCTCAGATCAGGATGAAAGTATAGTGGAACTTGCATTCCAGACTACAGGACACATTGTCAGTGAGTATCAACGATAATCAGGCACCATGGAAGAGTGTGTGACTCTGGAGGCTGAGAAGCTTTGTTTATCTATTAGCTCTGCAGTCTTCATGCTTTAGAACCAGTGTGTTACACTTCTCAAACAGTGCTCTGAGAAAATATTTTTAAAAAGAATTCAGTAAGATTATAGTAACCGGTCTTCTTTTATGCCTTTTTAAACAAAAAAAAATATGTTTGTAGAATTCTGTGGTAAAACAAGTAGAGCCTTAGATAATTTTATTAAATGTGTATGTTTTATATAAGTGAAGAATTCTTTATTTTTTTCCACCAGAAAAAACTTTTATGTAGACATTTTACTATTACGTTGTTTGCTTATCTTTGTCCTTGTTTCTGAATTATGCTTGTCTATGGCCCTGTTTTGAAGAAAGTGCTGAGCTAGGTAGCACTATGATTTTTTATTTTTTTTATTTCTTTTTTACCCCATTTTAATCTGGATCTCAGGCTTTAAGTGCCATAAAGGATATCTTCATTCTGTTTCAACCTCTTCAAGTTCCTAAAGCTTCTTCTGTTGATGAAGAAAGTTTGTTGTTTTTTTTTTCTTCAGAAGTGACTATTTAAAATCAAGGTAACAGGACCATATTGCTGAGGGAAGTGCTTTTGTAGATTTAACTCCCTGCTTTACGTAGCCCTCTTAAGCTCAGATCTGATCACACAGGCTGGTTTTAAGCAGTAAACCTATTGCTCTGTTCTTGCTTAACTGTTACATTTTCTTTGTTTAGTCTAGATCTCACCTTGATTTATTTTAGATATATATTTATCAAAACCGAATGCCTTCTAGATGATTTCTTTTTTTTTTTTTTTTAGTTTTTATTATGGCTCAAGCATTTGACAGTGCCAATCAATGAACCCGTCTCTTGTGACTTCTGTTACAGTCAGTTCATATTAGAATTAATGAATTTTAATCATGACACTTTTTTTCTTCTGTTCACACTTTTCTCCCAGCAATTGTGTTTGAAAAACACTTCCCAGCAACCATAGACTCTTTCCAGGATGCAGTAAAGTGCTTGTCTGAATTCGCCTGCAATGCAGCATTTCCTGATACCAGTATGGAAGCGATCCGCCTCATTCGCCACTGTGCAAAATATGTATCTGATAGACCTCAGGTATCGGCTCTATGAACTAAATTATAAGGGCTTTAATGAATAGTGCTTTTATAAAGCGCAAATTAATGACGCTAACCTTGTTGACTTCCTTTCGAGTTTCATAGATTGATGAGAAATGTACTTTATTCAGAAGCAACAAGTGCATAAAATGCCAGAGGCTTTGAAAGTATCAGCAATGTATATTTTTTTTCTATGTTATGAAAAAGGGATGAAAGCATAAGCAAAAATGCTTGATATCCTCAAAATGTTACGGTAGATCCTCACTTTCATTGCTGTCTCTATAAAACAAGATAAAGAGACTCACACTGAACTGCAAGCAAAAACTAGTGCTTGAATGTATTCTCTCATTGATTTTTTTAGTTCATTTTTCTTAATATACTAAGCATTACTGTGAAAATCACTTCATCTTCTCAGTATTATTATTTTGATTGCCCGCTCACCAGGGGTATCCAGGTGTAATACTAGTGCAGCAGAGATTGTTATTTACAGTCCAGATTGTCTTTTCTGATGAAGAATCTAACTCTTGCAACTCTGCGTCACCCTGTCTTCTCTTCTAAAGGCATTCAAGGAATACACAAGTGATGACATGAATGTAGCGCCTGAAGACAGAGTGTGGGTGCGAGGATGGTTCCCAATTCTGTTTGAGTTGTCCTGTATCATCAATAGATGCAAATTAGATGTAAGAACCAGGTAACAATCAGTATTTGTAATTCAAATTTTAAAAGGCTTACTTTATGCTTTTAAAATAGAAACAACTCTCTCAGTATATGTAACCATTATAAAATAATTTACGTATTTAGTGTAGGTGATACCACTGTGGGAACACCAGGCTTTTTAAAAACACCTTTTAAATAGATGCTGGAATATGAAATGTTTGTCGTCTCTTACAATAAATAGTGAAGTTACATGGTTGTGATTCATTGTGTTGAGTAAATAAGTATTACATTTCCTTAAAGTTAAATATTCGAATACCGCCTTATTTAGGATGAATAGAACTATTTAAATCATTGGTTTGTAAATAAAATAAAGCTTAGGTCAATTAAAATATAGAGACTGTTTTCCGTTTGTTATAGTTCTTGTAAACTCTTTAAACAGCTCAGCTCAGCTCAACTAACAATCAGATGCGATGGAGCTTATGCGTAGCACTCAGTAAAATATAAAAGTCAGCTTTTAACTTTACTTGCATATGACAAGAAAGCATTAAGCATTATTTTAACAGGGAAAAGTCAATTCTAAATGGTCAACAGGTATAAATACTCTTCCTCTCCCCTTTTTTAAAATAAAATATTAAATTGGGTTAATATTCAAATCTGGTTTTGTCCACTGACAATCCTGTGTATTCATTAGTGAATATAAATTTATGATGTTTGATTCCATGACATATGCCCCTCTTACTCAGGCCATTTTAGTTTTCTGTCATAGCTGACCTGGATAAGCCTTGTGTCACATTTCCACTTTTGCTCGGTTTAAAAAAAATGTAAAATGTTCCGTGCAGTGAGCAGGTTTTGGTTTTTTGAATTGCAACAGCAAAATCCTGTTGGAATCTTTTTGGGCCTGCCTTCTTATGTCTTGCCCATCATACTTATTTTGAGGTTTCTAAAACTGTTTTTATACCATGCTTCATTAACTGGTTGAGGACTGCAGAAACAGTTGAAAAAGCAAAGCTGTATTCTGATTTTGTGTAAAACCTGCTTATTTTCTTTGAGTGTGGCTTTGCCCTGATAAAGTTTATTGTGTTAGGGTTCTGATGCTAAATATGAGAGCTTGCATATAAATAATTTGAAATTTACACATCTACGTGAGAGTTGTGCATCTGGACTCCCTTTATAGCTGGTGAAAATTAATGTTTTTTTCTAGACTTGTGTATTTCTTACCTGGCAATATTTGTTCCTTCAGTTTTGTGGTCCTTTATAAAGAAGTTGTTTTCCTATTTTAATTTGAAAATACCACAGTTCTCAAAAGTATTTTCTGGCTATTGCCTGTGACTTCTAAGTGCTTTTTAAGCAAGTGGTTTTTCTGCTTGATTTTAGTATATTAATGTGACTGATCCACATCAGATCAGTGTATAATGTTCTTAACGGTATTTGAGTTTGTTACTGCTGTGGCAGATGGACATGTTTGATCTAGTGCATGTCTTTCTGTAATTTTTAATATATGTTGTTCATTCTTTGTTCCAGGGGCCTGACAGTGATGTTTGAAATAATGAAGACCTATGGTCATACTTATGAAAAACACTGGTGGCAAGATTTGTTTCGGATTGTCTTCAGGATATTTGACAACATGAAGCTGCCAGAGCAGCAGACTGAGGTGAAAAAAGCGGGGCAAGATAATTTACATGAGATCTCATATTTACAGGACAAAACCTGATTAGTAATAGAGCTTAGCACGTAATGCAAGGCAAACTTCAAAACTTTTGCATGGTTGAACTGTGGTAATAAGTAGCCTCCTTTTGTTTTATTATTGCTCTGTAGGAGATATTGTCACTTTTAAAATTTATTTATTTTTTTTAAAGCCATGTGTGTAAAAGGCCTAATAGTTGACGCTAAGAGCGACAGAAGAATAGCATAAAATGCAACATACCAAGGGTTTGTAAGAACTGCAGCTTTCACATACGATGTCTGGAATTTGAGACGCACATCATTTCATGGCAGCATGCTCAATGGAATGAGGCTTTTAATTAGCAGTGAAGTCACAATTAGAAGAAATAAGTTCTGCTAGTTCAGAACTTTTTGATGATTAGGGAAAAAAAAAGCAAACAAACACACTTATATCTCCCAAAAAACAACACTGAGCTTTCACTGCTCCCTTTTGATCAGCCAAACAGGTTTTGACCTGCCACACCAGGGCCGGGTACTGTTCTGACAGGGAAGTGAAACAGAGGTTCACTTACTGATGTGAATTACATGTGCATTATGAATATCAGAAATTTGATCAAAATTGTCAACTGTTTGGGAGGCTCTGTCTGACTGTTTATAGAAGGACATGCCTTACTTTCTAAATTTTTATTCCCTGGAAAATATTTACAAGAAACACGGAAAACCTCGCTTGGTGTTAAACTGTTAAGCTACAGTTAAATACTAAGTTTAATGTCAAACTCAGTATCTCGTGATAGTAAGTGCTTGTCACTCCTGTAATCTGGTCACCAAGAATAGTTGTTAATCTGTTTCTGTACGCTTTTAAACCTGCTAGCTAGCAAAGCAAAAGTTGGGGGTTTGAGATGTGGAAAGGAATTGCATGTCAAAGCTATTCAGACTGAGTAAATGCATATGTCCACCTGCCTGCCGGGAGGTGTATCCTAGAAATTGCACTTTAAACAAAGTTGTAATTATTTTTTTCCCTCCCCCTCCTAGAAAGCTGAATGGATGACAACTACTTGCAACCACGCACTTTATGCAATATGCGATGTATTCACACAGTATTTGGAAGTACTTAGCGATGTTCTTTTGGATGATATATTTGCGCAGCTGTACTGGTGTGTGCAGCAAGGTAGGACTATACCACGTTATGTTAAACAACGTTAACATTTTACTATGTTGAATGCGAATAAACAGATGCACTCTTTGTCTTTTCCAGACAATGAGCAACTGGCACGGTCCGGTACAAACTGTTTGGAGAATGTTGTCATCCTAAATGGTGAAAAGTTTACCCTCGAAATCTGGGATAAAACTTGTACTTGCATGCTGGATATTTTCAAAACTACAATCCCTCATGCGTAAGACTACTGCTGGTGTTTATACTTTGGAAAATAGTTTAGCTAGATGACTTAGTTATTTCAAACTGTTAGATATCTAATAGGGTAAACAAAAAATTGTTTTCTGTGGACCCAATAGAAGCCAGCTTTCTTAGAAAATAATGATAAATTAAGTGCTAGATATACTACTTCTGTGTTATAAATGACAAACTGTCAAAAACTAGAAATACCATACAGGAGATAAGCAAAAAAAAAGCCCCCAAACACCAAAACTGTAACTTAATTCAATTTTAAAATGTTGGATATTTTGGATAAGTACTATCTGATTTTATTGGTAATTTTCTCTCTGTAAGAGAAGAGTACTGTTGATAGGCAGACTTTGCAATTTGTAATTATATGTGAAGCCTTGTCCACAAACTACTGAAATACCGCAATAGTCTTAGAAATTTGAAGCCGCTTCTGGTGGATGGTTAACTTCCATCATGCGTTTCTATAATCCTAATCTTTTAGTGAAAATTATTTTACACATTTGGTAACTGTCTTTCCCTTTGTGCTACAACTCTGAAGTTTCTTGGAACAAGGCTGTACTATTCTGAGTAGTATGTTCAACATCATAGAGCAGAATAACATGAAATCACATCCAGCATTATGTACAAGATTAATTATTTTTTCCCTACCAACACTGAAGTGAAACACCACTTGTTTTCAAATCTGATAGTCTTCATGTTGAACTGTGCCTGTCGACCAGTTCATAGCATTTGCCTCTGGGTATCACCTAGTTCAGACCTGAAGAAAATTGAAGCAAAAGGGAACCTTCTGCACATCAGTCTTTTCTTAGAGTTATGTATCAGATAGCCCTGTAAGAGAGCGTCATTCAGTGTTTAAACAATAAGTTAATCCAGCTGTCACTACCTCACCTACTTTCCTGTGTGAGGAGGTATGAAATAATCACATCCAAAAATAATACTAAAATAAAGCTGAAACATCTGGGAGATGGCAAGAGCTGTTTGGGTTTTGGCTTTTTAAATTTTGATTGCTACCAAAAATAAAATTTGAAGCCAGATCTCTGGATGTAAAAGTCCAATTGAATTAGCCCTAACGTACTGTGCCCTATACCTGGAAGGATTCTGAAGTGGCTACTCCCTAGCAGAACGTTTGCTTGGGTTTCCACATATGATCAAAATTTAGGCTTCTGGATATTGTAGTAGTTGGATATTAGAAACCTTTCTGGAGCAGCATTTTTGATATCTATAAATATTTAGACATATTCAAAGTATTGTTGTTGCTTTTAACTATATATGATTTGAAATATGTGCATTATTCTCTTTGATGTTTATGGCACTTCTGCTTTTTATATGGGTTATTTTTCCTAGGAGGATATCTGACTCGTATAGATACCCATTCTTCTATCTCCTTTTTTAATCTTCCTGTACCTTCTTTGAAAACTTTGCTGTATTATTCCTTCTTATATGTGTGGGAGGTTCCCAACTTCTGCAGGATACAGTAAATCTTATTTGGATTTTATAAGTGAGTAATCCCTTGAGCATAAGTAATCGATCTCCTTTTCTGTGGTGAAAGTACATGTGCTCTTTTCCAAACAACTGTTGGGTGACACAAAAGTGCTCAAAACAGTCTTTGCACTTTGACCATATTTGATTGAAGCTTTTTAGATGGGTAAGGAAAAAATATGGCATTATACAGGTATTTCTTTATATTTTTAATGATTTGGCTGGCATTTCGTATTTGTTTTTGTTAGTCCCTCTATTAGCCTTATTTTTGTGGTGAAACTTTTCCTGCCCTTCCAGCCTTAATTTTTTTTTGACAACACTGTTTTAATACCCAGCTTTTTGTAGAGGCTGCCCTAGTACTCACAGAAGGCAGCAAATTCTCCTTTTACCTTTGTTTTCCCATATCTGGAAGTAACACAATAGTTAACGTTGAAACGAAGACAGAGACAAATCGCTTATTGTTGAATAAAAAAGTTTTACGGGCAAGTGCTTTACTGCTAATTGCTTTGAAAGGGTCAGATGCTATGAATTTCTGGTCTGTGAAGTATCCTCTGGCAGAGATTTTTATTAATCGGATCAGTTAGGATTATGTCTGTTCTCTTTTAGCATCCACGTAAAACGTCTTGCAGGTATTGTGTAACTTCTTCAACTGAAGAGTTGCTGCATCAGCTGCAGGAGTTCTGAGGTGCAGCACTAGCCTCTGCTGGGTCTTGCCAGGTTATCTTTTTGCAGAGGGAGATGATCATATCATTTTCTTCTTTGGAAAACTTAGTTCTAGAATATTTACCAATTTCAGCAAGAATCACTTACTAGAAAAGCCCAAAACCTTACTTCTGCCAAGATTCTACAAAATCGCACAAAATGGCTGAGATTGGAAGGGGCTCTGGTTGTGATCTGGTCCCACCTCGCTGCTCAGGTAGGGTACCCAGACAAGTTTCCCTGGGACCGTGTCCTGGCATTTGAATATCTCCAAGGTGGGAAGCTCCCTGGGCAACCTGTGCCAGTGCTGGGACACCCTCACAGGGAAAAAGTGTTTCTTGATGTTCAGAGGGGACCTCCTGTGTTTGAGTTTGTGCCCGTTGCCTCTGGTCCTGTCACCGGGCACACTGGAAGGAGCCTGACTCCATCTTCAGTCACAGAATCACAGAGTGTTAGGGGTTGGAAGGGACCTCAACGGTCCAACCCCCATCTCTCATCTGGTATTTACGTACCTCGATGAGATCCCCCTGAGCTGCCTTCTCTCCAGGCTGAACAAGTCCCAGCTCTCTTTGCTCTTTGCCTTTCCTCCTGGGAGAGATGCTCCAGTCCCTTAACCACTGTGGTGGCCGTTTGCTGCACTCTTTCCAAAACAACCCCATTTCTTGTATTGGGGAGCCCAGGACTAGATATGGTCCACTCCACCTTCTGGCAGCTTTCCTAATGCTGCCCAGGAAAGCATTTGTTTTCTTTGCAGCAAGGGCACACAGCTAGTTCATGTTCAACCTGGTGTCCACCAGGACCTCTAGGGCCTTTTCTGCAAAACTCCTTTCCAGCTTGGTGGCCCCCAGTGTGTACTGGTGTCTGGGGTTGTTCTCCAGGTGAAGAACTTGGCAGTTCCCCATGTTCAACTGCATGAGGTTCCCATCAGCCCATTTCTCCAGCCTGTCGAGGTCCCTCTGGATGGCAGCGTGACCTTCTGGTTTATCAGCTGCTCCTACCAGTTTTGTCATCAGCAAACTTGCTGAGGGTACGCTCTGTCCCATCATCCAGACCATTAATGAAGATGATGAACCAAACTGGACCCAGTAGTGACCCCTGGGGTATACTGCAAGTTACTGGCCTGCAATCTAGGCCTTGTGCCGCAGATCACCACCCGCTTGGCTCAGCCATTCAGCCAGTTCACCGGTTGGCTCATCCAGCCCATACTTCTGTAGCTCATTTTAATAGGTTTTTTTTGGTTCTTCTTTTAATTTAATTTTTATCCTGCACTTTTTTTTTAATTAAATTTTCTGAAGCTTCGTGAGAGCAAGTCTTGGCTCACTGGAGCTGAGAAAGCCAGGGTGAATGCCCTCTTGTCTTTGGGGAAATTCAAGAGTTAGATTTGGTTCCTTGCTTGAATTATGATGATCTGGCCTCCACTGGCTCATAATGGCTCATTATTCCAATGCCTCCTTTGGGAAATGGAAGTTGACAATTTTATGGCCTTAAATAAATTACACTGTATTTAACAACCTCTAATCCAGACCAATCTGCAGTTCATATCCTGATAGCTTTCAAGAATCAGTTCAGTTCTCTGCTCTACCTTATTTGTTGTCTGATTGCATGCCTCAAGATTTTATCCTTTCTTATCTTATATGGACTTTAGTTGTAGGGAGGGCAGTGATACGTTAATTTAGGATCCTTTGCATGGTGGGAAAGATCTCACTTAGGATACACAGGTGTAAATGTGCATCAGGCGTCAAGATTGAGGCTAAATATCACGACATCAGCTAGACCACGGCACTAAGTACTGGTTTGTCCTGGGCTAGATTCGTTCCTTATTCCAGGTAAAGCTTAAGGCAGCATGAGAGAACAAGGCCCACTAATGGTGCTAGAGCACTGCCTAAAGCTAAATCCAAAAGAGAAAAATTAATCCACCTCCACGTAATCCAGTTGTCTGTCCAAGGCAGCAAGCAGAAATGTTGAAGTTCAGAAAACACACCACTTAAATTTTTTGTAAGTGTGAAAGAATAAAATCTATACTTAAAACTGAGACCAGTTTATTAATTTCTGGAAGTATCTGTATCTAACTCTTTTAATGTTTGGCTTCCATTAATTTAAATTAGAACTAACAAACCCCCAACCATATTGAAGTGGACTTTTTAGAGTATTGGTTCTGCTTTGTATTTCAAACTTACTAAATCTGACACTGGTTTTGTGTTTTCAAGGCTGCTGACCTGGCGACCAGTCAGTGGTGAGTTTGGCTCTGGATCTCCCTCTGATGCAAAAGAAAAACTGGTAAGCTGCTAAAATAAAAAATATTTTAAAAGGTTGCGAGAGTTCAGTACACAACATTCATGTTGTGATGTAGAATAAGTGAACAGTATACTTGGTTTAAACCCATTTTTCAATTCTGATTTACTTGAAAATGTTTTTTCCAGATGAAGTGCTATTTAATGCTTAAAAATGGCAAAGAATTAGTTGGGAAAGAGAAGTGTGCATTTGTTTGCAGCAAAGTTGGCTGTAGGTCGTTACCTGTGTATGTTTTAGCTAATGTTTTTAGCTAATGTCCCATGTCTGGTAGGTGTCGTGTAATCCTGTATTTAAGGTTTGAGTTGTTCTCTGGTTTGGGTTTTTTCTTTCATTTAGCTCAATATTCTCTCTGATATATTGGCATAATGAGAAAATACTGGAGGTGAAAAGTTAGCTGATGAGACTGACAACTTTTTCCTTCAAATTTTCTCAGGCAATAGAAACTTAAACATCAGTGTTTAAAATAGAAAATACATATCAACATTAGACATCTTATCAATGGAATGAACTCCTGTAAAATTTGGATTTGCCTACAAGTGGCAGCCCTGTAGCTGCTTCATTACTGATGAGAATTAGTTGAGCTTTTGAACATTCTCAGAAGATTGCTGCATGAAGTTCTTTACAGCTTAATGAAGCATTTGATTACAAATTTTTCAAAGATGGGGTCCCAAATGAGTTCTGCTGAGACCAGCTCCCTCAAGTTGTATTTATGGAGCTTAAGAAAATTTACTTACAATAGTGTAATAGTTTGTGGTGGCCAGTTCTCATTTTACAGGTATTTTACATCCATATGTCTGAATGTGCTGGCTATATCTCAATTAATTTACAGTAGTTCGATATATGAAATGTTTGATCTAAACATTGGCTGTGATTTTGATCCATTTATGTCAAATACAACAGCGTGCAAAAATGGCAGCTGTATTAAATATCTTAGTCATGAATAAATTGAAAGATCTTTCCTCTTTCATGTAGTTTAACATGAATGTTTTCAAAAATCTTTTTTGTCTTTGGTGTAAAAAGACACTTTACAAGTTCAAAATTAGTAGAACTTTTGTACAATAAATAGTGAAAAAGGAGATAGATTTTTTGGATCCTTCCTTTTGGTAGGTAAAATTTTTGCAGGCTTTAGACATTTCCTCCTAATTTTTCTGCAGGTAGTTGAAATACAATCAGACATTCTACTATCTATAGACATACTATCTGTTCAAAGTATGGTTTATACTTAGTAGAGATTAAAACCTTTGTCTATGAAGTCTTTATCTATGAAGTGCACAACCCAGTTAGCTCCCGTAAGTCTTCTGGAAGTTAATCTTATATTATTTTTTGCTTTCTTTTCAGGACACAATCTCACAGAAGTCAGTAGATATTCACGATTCTATTCAGCCTAGATCTTCAGAGGGACGTCCGTATCAGCCCAGCGCAGGGTCCACAGTAGGTGAAGAAATGAGTAAAACCAGGCCGACAGCAAGTGCGTGTTTTGTAGTGATTTGGCATTCTGTATCTATTAAGAGTGACGTTTAGCAGATGTTTGGTATCTTTAGTTATAACCCCGGCTATAACTTTAGAAACGTGATGTGAAGAAAAGTACGCTGGTTGATTTATTGTTTTCAGGTACTATGACAAAATTCTGTTGGACTCTTGTCCACGTTTTTGACCTGTACTTAAAAAAAATCTAGAGTTCAGTTGCTAACTTGCCCAAAGCAAAATATGAAAAGTAGCCCTCTCCTTAGCAGTGTAAAACCTGCTAATCGGTAACGTGGTGATCAGTCCTGGGTTTAGACGAATCATTCAGATAGATGGATGCCAGGTTTGGCTCATGAATGTGCTTGAAGTTAAGTTGTTCTTTGACTTACCCCCAAAATCGCTCAAAAAAAGAAAAAAACATTGCAGTTGTTTAGTTAACAAAATTATTTTCTTTTTCTTTCCTTTAAAGAATTTCCAGAACAGAAGTTATTTGCTGCTCTTTTGATCAAATGTGTTGTTCAGCTGGAACTCATTCAGACTATCGACAATATCGTGTTCTTCCCAGCGACCAGCAAAAAAGAGGATGCAGAGAATCTAGCAGCAGCACAAGTAAGAAGAACTGATGGGCATCTCTCTTTTTAACAGTTTTTTCTCTAGTGGATAAAATTTCATAAACTCCTGTAATGCCTTCTAATTTACAATTTTTAGAAGTGCTTGAGAACTTCCAGCAGACTCTTGAGATCATCATGCATCCTGCATTAAATTGTATTTGCTGTCCTGGGGCAGCAAACTGTGGAGATGAAAATACATTATTCAAAGGGATTTATGTAACTGGGATGTGGATACAGCTTCTAATACAGTTTTAAGTTAAAATACAATACAGAAAACAAGGTACAATTGAGTTATCCCAGGAGGTTGCTGAAGACAATGGTGAATTTTTACTTGAAATATCGTTTTTTTCTGTTTTTTCCTTTTTTTTAAAGAGAGATGCAGTAGACTTCGATGTCCACGTGGATACACAAGATCAAGGGATGTATCGTTTTCTGACATCCCAGCAGCTTTTCAAACTTCTCGATTGTCTACTGGAATCTCACAGATTTGCTAAAGCATTTAATTCCAACAACGAACAAAGAACTGCTCTCTGGAAAGCCGGTGAGTTGCTCACCTTGGAGAAGTATTTTTCAAGAACTCTGAACTGACCCCAGAACAGGTCAAAAGTACTTTGGTGTTGAACCTGAAATTGAGTAACAGGCTGTAACTTTACAAGCCCAGAATCCTTAAGGACAGGAGACCTCATCTCTGCAAGTGCAAATGTATTTCTGATTTCCTAAAATTTAAGGTTTCACTGGGTTACAGCTGATCCCTGGCTGTCAGTCTGAGTCCCGTGCTCGGAACCTGCAGCCACAAAACCCCAAAACTTGGTAGGGAGGTGTTTTACCTACTGGTGTATAAGTGAACTATATGTCATTTTCTGAAACAGATGCAAAACAGGCTCTCAGTAGTGCTGCATTTAATCCATTCCTTGCAGCAAAGCTGACTATATTAATATTTTTAATGGTGAAGGCATACTGTGAATATGCAGTAAGCCTTTTTAACACGTGCGCAGAACTGCTTCAGCTTGAGTGAGGTAATTTTAATATTTGTGGGTATAGCTTTTTGCTAGGATGAACGTCCTCTGGCAAACAGAGTTCAATTACACAGTAACAGCTTTGGAAGCAGTGCGGGTGTGGTCATTTTTATCAAAAACGAGCAATAAAATGGTGTACACTGTTGGTATATGGTTGAGACAAAAAGGTCCGTTGTCCAGGTGGTTACAATCATAGAAACACAGAATCATTGAGGCTGGCAAAGACCTCTTAAGATCATCTAGTCCAGCCATCAACCCCACACTACCGTGACCACTAAGGATGCACTTTCATTGTACACCCAGGCTTCACATCTCCTTAGAAGCTCTAGAAGAACAGGTGCCAGACACAGTAGCGGTGTATATACACAGATTCGTTTTTAGCAGTCCTCCCTTGTACTAAATGTCGCAGGAAATTAAGTACATAAGGTGGTTCTTCTAGATGTCTACGTGCAGCGGAAGGTGCTTTAGAAGGAGAAGTGGGGGTCTGTAAGGAAAAATGTCAGATGAAACAAAATCTAAATGGATGCTTGGGATCTCCCTAGGTTTCAAAGGCAAATCCAAACCCAATCTCCTGAAGCAGGAGACAAGTAGTCTCGCCTGTGGGCTGCGCATTCTTTTTCGTATGTACATGGATGAGAGCCGCACCAGTGCGTGGGAGGAAGTCCAGCAACGACTACTGAAGTAAGCTCCATGTAGCTGAAGCTGTTGATGTTATTTTTGATGTTAAAGAATGCTTACTGTTTGGGATTTTTTTTCTTTTTTTTAAGGATACACTTCCTCCATTTGCATTAAACTTCTCAGAGCTAACACACCATGACGGTGGTGGTGGTCACGGCTAACGCTAAGTTTTTATGTTGTGCAGAGAGTGCTGTGCCTCCGACTACTAATGCTGTCTCTGCTTTTTGTTCTCATCACATGTTCTGCAAGAGAGAACAAAGGTTTTATCACCTTCCTTTTTTGTAACATGTGGGTAGGCGGAGGATTGTTATAGCTTCTTTTTAGAAAGTAAACCAACTAACACCTAAACCCTACATTTTTCTCTTTCAGTAACCTCAGATATTTTGGGGTACTGATGCTGTTTTTTCTCATTTGCAGAAATGAGCCCGGGGCATGAGGAGCCTATGGGCATACAGAAACTTTTGCCTATTTGGTTATTCATCACTGTGAATACTAAGGTTCACTGGAATGCTTTTAGTTGTTCAAGCAAGTGCTGGAATGACAGAGGGCTTAAAACCATGGCAGTAACACAAAGTTTATCGAGCAGGGAGCAGAGCTGAAAACTACCTTGTTACATCAGCATGAGATTAATTTTTAAAGTCTGCATATCATTATGTCACATGCATTTTATAATACCTCTCAAAGAGCCCTTGATACACTTTAAATACGTGCAAAAAACCAGTGCGATCTTGTTTTGTCGGCACATCTAATATTGAAGTCCTAGGACTTTGGCTTCGAGTTGAACAAAATCCCTGCTTTCTGTTATTAATTGGGCTTACAGCAGCTTTCAGTAAAACGATGCTGTTCTACACAAGGGCTTTGCACTGGTGCAGTTGCAAAGCTACAGCTCCCTCTCTGCAGTAGAGCTCAAAATAAAATGTTAGTTACTAGGTTTTGTGGCTTTTTTTTTTTTTTTCCTCTTCAGTGTCTGCAGCGAGGCTCTGAGTTACTTCCTTACTCTTACATCAGAAAGTCATCGGGAAGCCTGGACTAATCTATTACTCTTATTTTTGACTAAAGTTCTGAAGATAAGTGATGACAGGGTAAGTGACTGTTTGGACTGGTATTTAAGGCAATGTTTTAGAGCTAAGTGGTTCCTCACCGGCTCTTCACACACAGTTACCTACTTGACTTGAGAAGCTCCTCCTGCTCTGCAGTCACTCTTTGTTGAGGGAACACGCAGTGAGGCTGCGCCTGACAGGTACTGACAGGGGTCATGCAGAGTAAGGGTGCAGCGACTGATAAAATAATACGTGTCTGAGAAAATTTAAAAGATGCTAAATTCCGTCAGAGGTGTGCATTAAGCTGCTTTTACCACCCTGCTCCTGCTGAGGAAGAGGATTAGTGGCTGATATTATCTTCAAATAAATATCTCCTGTTTCTGCTTCCAGTGCTATGTGTATGTGTAACCTTCTCCTAAGCAATTCCGAAGTAAATAAATCTGTATTTAGGTCTCCCTTTATTTCTAACAAAACTTGGCTGAAACATTAAGTGATAGGGCCCAACTACAGCCAGAAACTTAACTGATGATAGGAAAGGTTTTCCTCTTGAAGAACAAGCATTAGCAAGGAGCTGTGTGTAGCTGGCGAGTATCTGTCAGAGCATGTCACAGCTTATTCTTAGCCTTATTCTAGCAGTGCTGGCTGCGGGCATAAAAATAGAATCAGAGAATGTCTTAGGTTGGAAGGGACCTTAGAGATCATCTAACCAACCTCCCTGCCATGGGCAGGGATACCCTTAACTAGACCAGGTTGCTCAAGGCCTCATCCGACCTGGCCTTGAACACCTCCAGGGAGGGGGCAGCCACAGCCTCTCTGTGCAATCTGTTCCAGAGTCTTGCCACCTTCGTGCTGGAGAATTTCTTCCTAAGATCCAATCTAAACCTATTCTCCTTCAAATTAAATTAAATCCATTTCCCCCTGTCCTATTGCTGGACACTCCTCTAAAAAGTCCCTCTCCAGCCTTCCTGTAGGTTCCTTTCAGGTATTGGAAGTCTTCTCTTCTCCAGGCTGAAAAATTCCAGCTCCCTCAGCCTGTCCTCGTAGCAGAGGTGGTCTAGCCCCTGGATCATCTTTGTGACCCTGAGATGTTTCTGCTTGTCACTTTGTGGGTTTCTCACCTTGACTTGGTAGAGTGTGTAGAATTCTTCACTTGCAGCACACTGTCTGAGGTGTGCTGGTGCATAATGGAGCGATTTCTTCTTTTTGTTTTCTCAGTTCAAGGCTCACGCCTCATTCTACTATCCTCTGCTCTGTGAAATTATGCAGTTTGACCTTATTCCTGAGCTTCGGGCTGTTCTACGAAGGTTTTTCCTGCGGATCGGCGTGGTTTTCCAAATATCCCAACCACTGGAACAGGAGTCTGGAATAAGCAAGCAGTAGCAGACCGTGACTGAGTCTCGCTCTCGTTTCAAAGTTTCTATTCCTCAGCTAAATAAAAGGACCGGGTAGCTGAGCCATCCTGTCTGGATATCCCATAAAAACACGGTTTCTTTGTACGGCAGCGTGTATCCAAGGGTCAATGGTACGGATGCTCACAACTTGTAATTACGGCTCGCAGCACTCCAGTCCCTTCGTTTCCCGATGGATTGTCTGTATCGGTTTCTCTGCCCTGGCTCCTGCTGAGCACAGAGCCAGTTTTTAGCACGGTCCTCTTGTGAGCATGGGCTGCCGTGTCCTCTCCTGTCCTAGACAGCGGCGTAGCAACAGATGTGTGTGGCGGGTGTGAAAGTAAAATTGTACCCAAAGACCTATATATGTGTAAAGGTTTGAGCTTCTGCAAGAAGTACAACTCAGGAGAGCTGTATTTTGAAGGATAAAATGTTTATAGTGAAAAGGAAACAGATTATTGTTCGTGAGGAAAGATATTTAGCAACTATTGTCTGATATTCTAAGATTTTTGCACACTCAGGCTGTCTGAGACATGGGTAATCATCCTTCTGTGAAAAATGTACAGAGATGCAGGTCTGTAATATAAACTCTTTAACACTATACAGTTCTTCCTGAATTGTTTTATTTCTGTATTATTGATTTGCTGAAAACCCATAACACTTCATTGTTTACCAGATGCACTAGAAGTTTGGGTTTATTTTTTTGGGTTGTGATTTTCTTCTTTTTTTTTTTTTTTTCTTCTTTCCCCCGCCACCCCCGGTTTCAAGCCCAGAAGTTAGTGTTGCTGACTTTTGTCAAAAGCAGAGGTAGAAATATCACAACTGACATCACTACCTGTAATATACATGTTTTAGGGCTTTTAAATATAACGAGCCATTGAAATGATGATCCTTCAAGGACTGGAACTTGAAACACTTGCAAACAAGTCTAGGTTGTGTCTGCTGTCAGATGTTTTTTTTGTTTGATGTAGATTTCACTCTTCTGTACAGAATTTAATGTTGAATATATTCAAGTAATAAATCTGGCATGGTTTGGGGATGGTTAAATTTATTGGAAATGTATTCATACTGTGAATTGTGCTCTGATGGTTAAAAGATGAGATTGTCAAGCATTCTGTATTACAATGGATGTAGAAATTTTTTTCAGATGGACAAAATGTATATGGTACAGATATGTAAAGTTTTCTATGTAAAAAAAATTCTGTACAACTTTCTGTACAATATTTGGTTCTCATCTGGCATATTCTAATCAGGTTATAGGTCAATAAAGTTTTTGAACTCTTTCATCAGTGCAATCAAAACTGGGGTAATCCACAGCTCTACTTGTTTTACAGTTTCCTTTGCCTCTCGTGCTCTTGTTTCAAAGGACCAAAGCCCAGCCCTCCCGGGACAGGGAGGTGGGTGCCCCTTGGGTGACTAGGATGTGTCTTCTCACAGGTGGGTGAAAAATAATGGTAAGTTTAAAACAAAACAAAAGCAAACGAAACCAAAAGGAATAATAAAAGTGCTTTGGGTAGACTAGTCAAATCCACCCTGTAGCAGTAAGAAACCCAAATACCACATTTTAATTTCTGGGGATTAAGATATTGTATGAAACAGATCGTTATGGGCTGAGGGTGGATGGGAGGGACAGGCTGGGATTATAGTTCGCCTGACTGCTGCCAGCTCAGCGTCTTTGATTTTGTAAGTAACGGTGGAATTGGATTGTACCCCCGTGGGTGAGCCTCATCTCACAGTGGGAGGACTCTCCCTCTAGCTGATCTCAGCAGGCCTCGAAAACGAGCCGAAGCAGTTCAATAAAACAGCTGTGGAAAAGCCAGTGGAGGGAATTAAAAGACATGAGCTCTTACTAGGAGTTTTCTCCTCGTGTTAGTTGGGGTGAAGCAAAACCAAAGTGCATTTAGCAAAGGAGGAGAATGGAGGTAATTTTCATTAATTGTACAGCCTTTCCTCTGGGGCTCTATTTCATTTTTTCTGTTTGCTGTGTAATGTTTGAATCTTAAACCAATGTTCTAGGCCAGATGTGAGCTCTTTCTTGTCTGACAGTGATCAGTAGGAACTTGTACAGTACGTGTAGTGTGTCCCATCCCTCGCGATGCCGGACTCTCCCCTGGGCCTGTGGCATGCTGTGCTCGGGACCCTTACTGGGGTGTTCCTAGGGCTGTTACCCAGAGCGCTGGTTTAACAGCTGCTGCTCCAGCTGTTCCCCATGTGTCTGCCCAATCTCTTTTTCAGTGTCTGTGTTCAAGATTCAGCAATAGTCGGTACAACAGATTAGCTAAAAAGTTTGTTAGTTTGTGGGGGTTTTGTGTTTATTTTAAACCCTACTGATTCACTGTTCTATTGCTTACTCCTATTTAGTAATGACTTTTTCACAGCATCACCTTCTCATGCCTTACCTTATTTGTTGGTTAGATTATTGCTTTATAGTTGTTTAGTCCTGGTTCATTGGAAACTGAACTCGTGTATCATTATTACTTGTTTCTGTACCTCTCTGTCATTCATGCACTGCCAGAGCTGCACTAGCAGTACTTTGGGTATTAGGTTCAACATGCAGCTCTTTAAATCCTGACCTCCACGGCGATTATCAGAAAAGCAGGGGCAGGGGCAGGACATGGGTTCTATTTTAGTCCTCTCAGCTTAAAGGGGGAGCTGGGCTGTGTTCTGGACTTGAACTGGAGAAAACAACTGCCAGCATGGGATGTACAAAAATGCAGATAAACGAGGCTGGCTTTTTAGGATAACACTAACTTTATGCTTCTACTGGGGGGCAGAGCTTTAATCACAGAAATGTTTAACTACGTAGACCACTAGCTGAGAAAGAAGAGAAACGAAGTTCTGTATAGAGCCTGGAGTTGATCATGCATCAAAGCATTCAAAGCATGAAGCAACTGAAGAGAGGCCTCAGGCATTAAAAAAAGACAAGGGGAAGGCTGGCAGGTGACAAACTGAAGAGAAGTAGGAAATACAGAGGATGGGAACTGTAGTATATGACATTTTTACTGTAGCTGCTTAAAATTACTTTGTGATTCCTGCCTCTAAGAAATTCAGACTATAGGGTCCAGCCTAGGGCTTGGATTACGCTCAGGTCCTGGCATTACTGATGGGCCAGGGCTGTCACAGCCAAGCTCATGAAGGTGATGAGCCCAAAACTCATTGTAAGACTAAGCCTCGTTTGGCACGTCCTTGCTGGGAAGGAACATACGAAACCCATGAAGAAGCTGAGTGCGACGCAGCATTTTAAGTACTGCACTCTCTCCGCAAGCCTCTCTCGCCTGCCATCATCACAGGACAGCTGTGGCGTTCCAGGAGGTAGGCAGAAGCACAAAGGCCGCATTTTAGTAAAAGTAAAGAGATTTATTTTTTTTACAAATTGCTTTGTTTCTCGCTATTGGTCAAGCTTTGGCCTCTGGATGGGAATTTCCATGAGCGAGAGGAAAGTCAGAGCCTTATCCTTGCTTCATCTCTGTGTTTCAGTTCACTGAACTCCTAAAAATCTCGCTCCTGGCTACAGCTCTGGGCTTTTATTCTGCAACTTTTCGCTGTGTTTTTCCTGCTTCTTTGAAGACAGTTTGTTCATGAGTAAATATAAGCTGACACAAATGATAAAGAAGATTGACGTCTACTTTCACTTTTTTGGTAACAAAATAATTTATTAACTCTTACATCAGAACCATAAATATATGCAACAGTATCTGTATTTCCAGCACAGAACAGGTTAGAGAACATAAGACACATTGCTAATAGTCATTTTTCTATGAAACTGCAGGACAGCACTCATCACTGCATGAAAAGCAATCACCCTTCTACAAGTTACTTACTCTTTTGGTAAAAGTTTAAAACACACCTCTGCTCTTGGGTTACTCTATTGCCAGACAGTTTTGAAGTTTATCTATAAACGAAGCTAAAAATTAATACCAAATTCACACTCACACACACTGTTTCTGTGCTAAGTCCAGCTCTGACACTGAAACTGAACTTTTATAAAAGTGCAAAAACCACCACGCTCTTCCTCCCCTTCCCACACCACACAAAAACATCCCTGCCCAACATCTCTGTTATGCTGCAGCTTCTGTTCCCTTATTATTGCTATTTTAACTTACACACACAACTCCATGCTAGGAACGTGGACAAGAACTATCCCCTACAAGAGCCTCTGGAAAGTGCAGTAGCGCTGAAGAGCCCCTGCCACGCTGGGAGGCACAGCTGGCGCACAGCTGGCTCACAGCAGGGCCGGAGTCAACCGTGCGCTGTGGACAGGCCTTGCCAGCTCAGGGGGAGCGCGGTTTCAGGCGAAAGCTTTGCCGAGCTGGACCGCTCAGCCATGAACCTCTGGAGCGGCTCTGAGGTTCCCGGTCGCAGCCAGGGCTCTGTCGCAACTGTGTCAGTGGAGCCGGGCCGCACGTCCGCCTGCGCCTGCTTCAACGGGGTGTCTGCTTCTCCTGACGACAGGGAATCGCCTGAGAGAGAAGGAGAGCGATGCGTGTATGTTAAAGGGGAACAAAAGCTTATCGCCTCTTATCACTGCATTTTGTTACATTGAACAGGCTTATCTGTCTACGATAAATACATAAATAATGCTCTTAAATTACATTTGTTTCTACTTAACACACACTTTTGCTGTTCTTGGGAACTAGAGGCAACAGCTGAAGACTCAAGTCTTTGATGCCTGATGCCAACAGCTCCTCTCCTGCCAGATAAAGAAGGGGTCAATACCAGCAGCCTCAGATAGACATAGGAGGTTCTTGCTTTCCCAGAGCCTCCTTTTATAAGAAGTCAAATCAGTGCAGATTACACATATAAACCAAGATCATTAAATTTCAGCAATATGGCTAAACACTCTTGCACAATCTGTCTCTCACTCAGGAAGAATTATTTTAACATTGGTGAAGAGTGCCAGTGCAAGCAAGTCTGCACAGCACAGTCCAGCTGGGCTAATAACCTGGACGCAGCATTGTTCTGAAATGCGCCCTGGGAAAGTTGTCCAGCTACAAAACAAACCGCACAAAACCGAAGGAAAAAAACCAACCCACAAGAGAACAGCCCTGCCTTTGAACTCGGGGTCGTTAACACTCTGAAGCCCACTAATTGCTAGTTTCAAGTCAGTCAATCATTCATACGTTCCTAATACCTCATTTTTTAGTCTGGATTCTCAAACAGCATAAATGATATATCCTTTTATAGTTATATATTTATAGCAAGAATTTCTCTGTGCTGTTTATCTTTTGGCTTCACAACATTTTTACATAGATAAACCAAAAAATAATGCAACTCTCCACACACGTATAATCAGTGTATAGTATGAACAGGTGAATTGGTATGAAAATTGCAATGTTCTCGAACAAAGCCAAATCATGTAAATGAAGAGGTTCTTGTTGGGGTTTTTTTAAGCTGGGCAGGAAAATGATTGAAGACTCCAGATTAGGGGAAAAAAAAATATAAAAAAATAAATTTTTGCAGAAACACAGTAATTCCAGTATTTTCTTTAACGACTTATGCAATTCTGAAGTGCCAGGTAATTTAAGTATTTGGATGACTTTTTTCTCTAAACTTAGGGGTTTTATTCTGAAAACAAAGAAAAAAAGATTACTTTTAAAACTTGATTTTTAAACCAGTCTTCTAAAGCTACTCAGGAGAACTTGGCAGTTGATGGTCTAGGCATGGGTATGAGGACCCAAGTCCTGCAGAAGCAGCAGCAGCCAGGTGTGGGGAGATGAAGGGAGGAGAGAAACTGGACAACCCCACAGCTGCTGGGTGCAAAGGCTCAGTTTTCCTCTTAGCGTCTAAGGCAGGGATGCAGGTTCTGAAACCAAATGCCAAATACTTTTTGCTCAAAAAGCACTTGGCAGTGAATCCACTAGTTCTGTCACATCATACAGACGGCAATGTGCTCATCCTCCCAGCCTTCTCAGTCTGGTTGAAACAAAAGTTCTCTATAATATTAGAAGTGTTAAACAGGCCTCCCTCGCTCTAGGGCCTGTCCTGCACTCGATGCTGGGTTTAGAGCTGGCAGGGTGACCCTCTCTGTCTCCTAAATCCCAGGTCAGATGAATCCTCCTGTTGGCTGGAACCTGCAGTTCTTCTATACATAAATTCTGCCGCAGTTAATGATACCACGTGGCAGACAAAGTAACAGCTAAAGACAATTAATTTTCTCTTTGCTACTTTTAAGAGAGATATTTAGAAACAATAAAATTAAAAGAATGTATTTGCATAGAGACAAACTACAGACTTCCATGCCAGAAGGCTGCATTTCCCTGAGTTTAACTATCACTGCCTTCAAGGACAAAGCCATGAGATCTCCCAGGAGAGAGAGAGAGCGCGCAAGAACAACTGTTTTGTCACAGATAAAGATCATAGTGCACATCGCTGTGTCGCACTCCTTTGGTGCAGCTTCTAGGAAGTGCAACAGATCAGCTACAGTACAAAATCGGCGTCATCATGAATTGCTACACTTTGTGTACTCCATAAAACACTGTTCTTCCTCGGGCCACATACGAAGAATTTTCTTTGGAGTTGCCAGTTGATAAATCACAGTTTGTATCTGGAGGCTGGAGATACGAGACCTCTCTCCTCTGCATGAAGGACTCCTGCTGAGCACCAGCAGGTGGACGTTCTGCCCCTCAGTGAGAACAAACTCCTTCAGCACTCTTGAGCCTGCACTGACGCTGCTGCCCACTGTAGCTCTTTGCGGGCTCCAGCTTTCCTTCAGTTAAAGGCACAGGGGAATGCCTTAAGTCTCACGCAATTTAGGCACAAGTAGCAGGGTCTCAGCCGCGTACTTAACGTGCTCAAACCTGTGAGAAGTCTGCCCTTGCTTACACCATCAGAACATGCCTAGATTGCGCACTGGAGAGAGGAGTTGCCAGCTTGCGGAGACGTCATTGCCCAAAACACTCACCAAGTCTATGCTGATGGGAATGGTTTTTTGGGGGGGTGGGTGAAAGCAGAGGAGGAGGCCTGGCTCCAACATGCACTAATTTTCCAGTTCAGAAAACAATGCTAGGCTGGCTTTAGGATTCCCACATCAGTCCCATAAAAGAAAGTGAACTGCTGTGACCAGAGCCTCCTTGCTGTGCCAACAGGATCAGCTCTTGAAGTTTAACAAAGCCTGTAAATTGCCATCTCCTGGTCATTTCAAGGGAGGAAAACCAGTTTAAGTTCCTTAGTTATACACTTCACAGAGTTGTTTTCTCCCAACCATACATCCGAGAGCAGAGGAGAAATAATAATCCTAGCTGTTAGGAAAGCAAGAGGATGCCACAAAGGTTCCATCAAACTGCTAGGGAAAAGGAATAAAACCATTTGGCCTCACTCTTTTTTTTTTTTTTTTTAAATGTGTGCAGGCAGCAGCGCTGCCCTAACAACCAGAGCTGAGCAAAAGGATCTCTTGTTACATTTCCAAGAGGCACATATGCCAAGGATGAGTGATGGTACCCATGTGTTCCAAAGAACAAGCTATATAGAGGCATATAAATATATTTATATATATACACACATACACACACATAAAAATTATATATATCTAAAGCCTGAAGTTCTGGAGACCATGCTGAACAGAAGGCAAACAAAATAAAATGTAGTTCGCACGATACAGGCTGATATAAAAGAAGTGAGATAGAACAAGTGCAGAGATGTAAAAGAAGTTCACACAGCAAAAACGCTTGGTGGAGTAAAATAAGTAAAGAATTTGTTTAGATTATAGAAAAAAAAAAAGAACCGGATTTTTGGGGCTCTTTAGTGATTAAAAAAATCACAGTTGAGATGGTTGAAACAAACAAAAAATGCATGAAGTGCTTCTCAGAGTACCCATAGCAACAGAATCATAAAGACTGTCAGCATCTGTACTCTCATTAAGGTTAGAAAAAGGATACCGACAGACACTGCAATTGCCCAGACAGCATAGCAACGGCCTCCTAAAAAAAGGAGCTTTCAGACTCACATGAAAATCATGAGCACAAAGTGTATCAACTGGCTCATAATCCAGGTGAGAAACTAAAGGCCGCTAATAGTTGCCATAATTGGTACCCCATAAACAAAGTGGATCTACACGAGGCAGCTCTGAGATACCTCCCAGGAATTCGCTGTATTACACAGTCACAAGGCACACATCATAAACTGAAGCGTCTGTATAGTGAAAGAGGTATCAGTATCAACCTCAAATACCAAATGATCACTTATGTTAACAAACCACTAAAAAAATCCAGATTAACTAGAAATGGAAGTGCTTTATACATGATTTTTTAGCATATCTTATGCCAGTTGGACCACCGATATCTGATTCCTAGGAACGCCAGTGAACTCACCCAGGCACACCATCAACATTCATCTGTCACGAGTTTCATTTCTTTCCACGACCATTTCAGCTGCGCAGCTGGATCCCCAGCAGTGACACATCGCAATATGAAAAGTGGTGCAGGCAGGACAAGCGTGAGTGGCTCACCAGACAGGAATCAGAGCATCTTTTCCTACTGCTTCCTCTAAACTTACTCTAAAAAGCTGTGTTGAAGTTTGCTGGGAATCTCTTCCAGCAGCTATAAAGCTCTACAAATAATTCCTACATTTCAACCAACCAGTTGCTTGCTTTTCCACTACAGGCAGTCTATTAATATTTGTTCCTTTAATTATTGGAATGACTTAGTATTCACTGCCTCATCTCTACTACACAGAGCATACCTAAGTAGGCAGATTTCTGCTGGAGCTCAGTCAGTCTGTGCAATCGTTCCTCGTTCTTGCCTTTCAACTGATCGACATCGAGACTGAAGTTCGAGTGCAAAGAAAAGCCATCAGGCTGCAGCACCGGTGTCTGCACCAGTGGAACATCCTCCTGGAGAAAATGTGAAAATGCACAAATCCTTCAGTTAAATAGCATCCTTTTTGAAAGGGCAAATAGCTATACATGTACACTCTTCAGTATCCACATCGTCTAGCCACTACGGAACCACAGGAACATCAGCTGCCATTAGAGCTGTGGTCCACCTTTGTATTTAAGCCAATCCCATTATCGTACGTACAGCGCACTCCAGAGCTTTCTGCTTTATTCGTCTCCTCTCCCGTGCAGAAGGTGGATGCTGTGGTGATATATTAACTTCTTCTAAGGCAGGAAACGTTTCCCCATTAGCACCTGGAAAAACAGGTGGAATAGTTTTCAAGGAAATCAAAACGCTAGACAATGTTACATACCATTTATGTTTTGAAATAAAGCCAATATATTGTACTTGATCAAGAGGCAACAGGTGCAAGCTGGAGCATAGAAGATTCCATGTAAAGATAAGGAAAAGCTTTTTCACTGTGAGGGTGACAGAGCACTGGAACAAACTGTCCAGAGAGGTTGTGGAGTCTCCTTCTCTGGAGACTTTCAAAACCCACCTGGATGCGTTCCTGTGTGACCTACTCTTAAGTGATCCTGCTCTGGCAGGGGGTTAGACTAGACGATCTTTGGAACAGATGATCTTTCAAGGTCCCTTCCAACCCCTGACATTCTGTGATTCTGTGATTTAACCGCGGGAATCAAAGGAATGTATTAATTAGGACATCTTGCATGAAGCCAGCGATAACCCAGATGCAGGCAGAAGAACAAGGTACCACAAATGCAACAAGGGATGAACTTCAAAAGTCAAGAGAAGGAATAAATATCTTGAGATAAGATCTCTCTTATGCAGAGGATAAGGCATTTAACATCCTGCAAATCCACCACCTATTACTTCACCATTTCTTGTTTATACCTAGACCTTTAAGAAAAACAAGTACTCGAATGAGTATAGTATCTCTGCTAGAAAAAGATACCACCAGGCAAATTGGAGGCATAAAAAGATACAATCATGTACGAAATTATGTGTGTAAACAGGTCACACAGAAACTACTTCAAATACAAACTATTTCAAAAAGATTCTTTTTCTCCAGGACCAGCAACCACTGCTCGGGGGGTGGTTTAAGGTTTTGCTGCTGCTTGGCGCAGAGAGTGGGCTCTGTTTTCTAGTTCAGTCCCTCCAGTACCTCCCTCCAAGAAGCAGAGCCTCCCAGAAAAAGAAAAGACTCTGCTTAGCAAAACCAGCACAGAATCCATTACCACCAACTACACTTTGTGACAATGAAGTCACCTTTTGGAAAGGCTCCTAGTCAATCTAGTATGACAACTTAAGATAAAATAAACAAATAAATAAATGTGCCTAAATATATATACACACACACACAGGGTACTGCACAATTCTTCATTTTTTTAAAATGACATACTGTGACATTAAAAATAAACCATATCTGTGGAAAGAATGGGGTTTTCATTTCTATCATTCACAGATTTCAAAGATCTTCAAATGAAATTTTAGCAGTAACAATTCTTTTAGTTGAAAACTGAAATACATAGGTTTGAAAAGTAAATTTGATTGATATCAAGGAAGGTCACAGAAACAAAGACAGCTATTTTAAAATATCTGTTCACATTACCAGTCCATTTTTCCCTATAAATAAAAATTGTATTCCATTCTTTTCCCTCCCTCAGTTTCACCATACTCATGCTCTCATCACAAATGCTTCAAAAAAATAAAATCAAAGCATAATCTTGAAATGGTGCATAGCTAACAATCCACTGATCAGAGGTCTAGTTACAATATCAGCTGACCTTCATTATATTCAAAATAGTGCTATTGCTCAGAATACAAAAAACATTTGTGTGAATTTGTCACAACAGAAACAAGGTACAAGCTAAAGAAGAATTTATTTGCACCTTGAGTGTTTCATCAGTGTGAGATGCTACCTGTTCCTGTAAGCATCTATCGTTCAGCTACTGCCACACAGACGTGCTTTCAAATCACTGCATTACACTAATGAATTTTAGAGTTCCAAGCGAGGCCAAAAGCAGGAGTAATGTTATGCTCTTCTTAGGAAATTTAAAAACACTGCTAAAATACACCACAAGTATTTCACAAAAGACCCTCAGACAATGTGAGCAGCACACTTCACGGAGAGGGCAGCCCACAGATAATTAGGTTTTTTATTTTTCATTTCAAGGCTGGCTGGAAGTCACCAGATTCATATTCAGAATTTTCATACCTATAAATAAATATAAATCGTAAGTAATTTTAATAAAGTCCAAACACTGCAAAGGTTAAGAAAGGCATCGTGCCGACAGCTCAGTGCTGGGGAATACATTTTTCCACTACAGTTCTCAATGATGTGGGGAAAAAAGAAAAAAAAAAGTGAATCAGTAGTATTGCAAGTTAACTCATTCACCTCACTAAGCTGCAAGACTTGGCTGGAAGGGAACAAGGAGGAAATAGGAGAGGACTATAAATATCACAGACCTTGTGAAAGCGGTGAATAAACCCAAGGGGCACCCATTACACAGGCGGCAGGTTCACAGCAGCTGAAAGGGGATCATTCGCAGAAGGTGTCGTCATGGGGAAACGCATCCACACGATGCTGCTGAGGGCAAACAATTAGAGGGATTCCAAATCGCCGATTCCAGTTTGCGGAAGACAACCTACTGAGGCACAGCTTTGCAGGACTTACTAAATGCAAACGCGCAGCGTTTGCCTCGGGAAGCCTCTGAGCTCCGAGTCACACAAGGCTGGAGGAGCGCTCTGCCGCGGTGCCACACGCCTGCCCGCTGCCCCACGCTCTTGCCCACACGCCACCTCTGGCCACAGGCACTGCACCAGATCCCAGACCCACGGGCTCCCCTAAAGCCTCCTTTCATCATTTCGGCCGTAACCAATAAATGGTATTTCCTAAGCTGAAGAAGAATGTGTTGCAGACCACAGAGAGTACCAACTGCACTGAACAAGGCTGAATGCTCCATCCCGTGTCCATCTCAGTGCGGGTTCTATCCCATACTACAGGACTTGCACCTTAACAAAATAATCCTGACTGCATTTCAAACGAAAAACTGCGCTTTTAACCAAAGCCAGAATTAACAATCATCGCTGTAAGGAAACATATCTAGCTTCATTAAAAAGCACTTGTAGGAATCCACGGCATCTTCCCTACAGCAACGAATAAAACCTTGTAAGAGGATTTCGCATCACAGAATCACAGAATGTCAGGGGTTGGAAGGGACCTCTAGAGATCATCTAGTCCAGCCCCCCTGCCAGAGCAGGATCACCTACAGCAGGTCACACAGGAACACGTCCAGGCGGGTTTTGAATGTCTCCAGAGAAGGAGACTCCACAACCTCCCTGGGCAGCCTGTGCCAGGGCTCTTGTCACCCTCACAGTAAAGAAGTTTCTCTTCACATTGAGGTGGAACTTCTTATGTTCTAACTTAAATCCATTATTTCTTTTTCTATGGCTGGGCATTACTGAAAAGAGATTGTCCCCTTCCTCTTGACATCCACCCCTCAGATATTTATATACATTAATAAGATGCCTATCAATGATTGAAGAGAATTTCAAGGTACTGTAATACTTACTAATGAAAAATAACACATAGAGGCCTGAGCTGGTTGGATTATTTTTTTTTTTAAAGATAAATTTTAGCCTTTTAAAACTTAAAAGAAACCCTCACTCATAAAATTTACAAAAAAAAGAGAAGCTCTAGCCTTATAAGTAGAACTGGAAATAAAATATATCTGAAAGAGCACTTCTACATACATGCATAGATAGGTTGAATAATGTGAGAGATAGTCCTCCATCCAAAATAGAAAACTCTAAATCACCTTCTTCAGATGATTAAGAAGTGACCATGATTTAGGTGTGATGATGCAAGTTATGTGAAATGAAGAAACGTGTGAACAGCAGAAAAGTGAGCAATCACTAGTTTAAACCCCTATAAATCATACTTAAAAATCAAGCATGCCTGCAAAACTAAAGGATAAAAATGAAATTAATTATTGTCTGCCCAACACTCTTCTATTTCACTGAGGACCACTTGTAATTGTAAACTGTGATCACTAATATATTAGTTTATTTGCTGCAGAACAATGGAAGTGCAATGCATATTTTACCACCATAACACATTTGCTGAAAAAATCATAGCATCATAGAATTGTCAGGGTCAGGGTTGGAAGGGACCTTAAAGACAGGGCAGGGACATCCCCCACTAGATCAGGCTGCTCAGAGCCCCATCCAGCCTGGCCTTAAAAGCTTCCAGGGATGGGGCTTCCACCACCTCTCTGGGCAACCTGTGCCAGTGTCTCACCACCCTCATGGGGAAGAACTTCTTCCTAACATCCAATCTGAACCGATCCATCTCCAGCTTCAATCCATTCCCCCTAGTCCTACCACTACCCGACATCCTAAAAAGCCCCTCACCAGCTTTCTTGTGGGCCCCCTTGAGACACTGGAAGGCCACAATAAGGTCTCCTCAGAGTCTGCTTTTCTGCAGACTGAACAGCCCCAACTCTCTCAGTCTGTCTTCACAGGAGAGGTGCTCCAGCCCTCTCATCATCCTCGTGGCCCTTCTCTGGACACACTCCAGCACGTCCAGATCTTTCTTGTGCTGTGGGCTCCAGAACTGGACGCAGTACTCCAGGTGGGGTCTCACGAGAGTGGAGTAGAGGGGGAGAATCACCTCCCTTGACCTGCTGGCCACGCACCTCTTGATGCAGCCCAGGACACGACTGGCTTTCTGGGCTGCAATATTAGAGTTCCCTTAATAATAATAACAGAGTTCCCTTAATAATAATAATTCCCTTCAATATTAAGAGTTCCCTTATCCAAAGCTTGGAAGCTGTCAGAGAAAGCTCCTTGACAAGGCCAGCAGCCCAGTCAGAGCACAATGAGCTCAGAAAGATGCTTTCTCATGAAAAGATGTGAAGAGGTGTAAGGCAAGTGAGCATCATCATTACTTTACGGTGTGACGTACACAAATTTATTGCAGTACAATTCTGTAAAGGTCTGCATTTTAAAGTTTCTACACCCACTGCAACTTCTAAAACGGTAATAATCATTTGAGACACATCTTCAGATTAAATGAAACGTTTGTACACTCGTAACATGGCTAAGGGAAGGTACAAACTCACCAATAAAAGCGCTATCCGATTCCAACAGTGAGTTTTTCAGAAATTCATGAGATTCATTCCTGAACTACAAGTGAAACAGAAGACACACAAATTCAGATGCCTCAGTATCTTTCTGTGGCCAAATTATAATTAATGTAACTTCCAATGTAATTGCAAAACTTCTGCAAACAGCAGCTCTGTGGTTTTCTGTCCTATCTACTACTTCATGGCTATAAAAAACCCCACCAAACTATTCCTTTTAAAATAACTCATGTTCTCTTTAAGCATTAGGGGTTTTTTTAACTTTTCTGTAGTAACCCCATTTGCTGAAACTGCCTGTGCCTGGTGAGGAAATGCATCCTCGTTACCCTGCCTGAGCTTCAGAGCAGCGAGCACTAGAAGCGAGCTTTGCACCTAAGGTTTGTGTGAAGAATTGGTCAAAGGAAGATCTATTCCTTACGTTTCCCTTATCCTACCACATACAGTGTCTGATACTAAAACACTAAAATAACAGATTTTTTTCACAGTAATAACAAACACTGAGTGCAATACTTATAGTTCGCTGCACAGCTGCAATCATTTTGTTACAGAAATTCTACTATGGAATAATTTTTGTTGAAAACCACTCAAATCAAAGCAGTAGGAGCTATCAGAGGAGACGGAATAAGAGAAAAACAAGTTTTTTACTGCAAAGCACTGCTCTGAAGAAGGACTTCAGGCAATAAATTACAAGTATAGAGTACATTAAGGTGATTTTTCTTTAATTAAAAAATGTTTAATTTCTGCACGTAGTACAGCATTATCCTTGAGGCTTAATGGCTCTGCTCTTCCACAGTCTTCTGTTTTCTAAGGTTTCACTTTCCCATGAGACACAACTGAACTCTCTTTGGGTTAGTGCAGAATTCCAATTTGATAGTGTTTTATTGCACTCTTTCATCAAGCCAGAAAAAAACCTACAGCATTTGAGACAACAGATTCAATCACTGACTGCCACGTGCATCACTTAAGCCACCCGAATTCAGAGCAGCTGCTTTTGGCTTCGTTTTCACTACTAAACATCCACTGCCAGTGGCAATCTAACATCATATAAATATAACATAAGTACCAATAAATATTAAGAGAAGGGAGTTAAAGAATCAAACCATCTCTATATAAACAAGGAGTTTAAAGGAGCTGTTACTCATGGTACTGACAGGCAAGGGAAGTAAATAAGCTCCCTGCCTTGTTATTCAAGTGTAACTCCTTTCTCCCAGTTTTTGAAAGACACAATATTTCTCACACTTGAGAAAAGGCAAAGTAATATAATAAAAAAACCTGTTCTAGTCTTACCAGTCTCGTGGTTTGTGGGTTACTGCCAGAAGTGTAGTCATCTTGATCAACAAAAGCCGCAGAGACAAGGGACAAAATATTATTAACATAAACCCAGTTATTACTAAAGCATATTGAGTTTTATCAGCATATTATTACAAAATTGAAGATCGTTACGCATTTCTTCTTGAAGATTGCACGCGCTGTAATGAATATTTTTAAAATATATGAATGCAATGTTTATTCCAGTTTCCTTATGCCAATTTAAGTAGAATCAGAGAAATCAAACAGAACTTGGCTGTACATTATTTCCAAGAACGCTGAGCATGTGCATGCAGTCCTTATTAAGGCTGGATTCATTGGTCTCACCCAAAGACCAAATATATTTCTCACACTAGAACTTCATCATTCATTGCCAATAAAAATCAACCATTTCCCATCTTGTTCCAAATTTGACTTTTTATCCAGGGAAAGGAAGCATAACTATTTTTGTGGCTACTGAAAATTATTTTTTTAAAGATATAATCACACCTTGTTAGCTACTAAAATTGCACTAAATTGTGCCTAATTCTGAAAAAGTTCTCTGTGCTGCAACAGTCAAAACTACTTTTGCACTGTCTTTACAACAATACTGTAAACACTTGTTATAGAAAGGGCATGTCCAGATGTTGACTGAATAATGTAAAAAACAGGAATTTGTGGGAGGGCAGCACAGTTAAAGCCAACAAAGCAACATAACACAGCACAAAATGCTGCTGCCTCAACACTTGGTTTCTCTTTTTTACCCTGTTCTGTTTCATTTGTTGATACCTTAAGATCTTTATTATTTGAATTACTGCATCTTTAACAACATCCAGTCACAGAACTAGCAAGAAATGTTTCTTTCATATTTTCTGCCCACTGCTGAATCCTAACACAGATGGAACACAGACAGTACTGAGAAAACACATCAGGTTAAGTAACTTCAGATGAAAAAGCATTTAAACAGCACCCAAGAACTCAAAGTCAATGGCCTTCTTACTATAATAAAGATTATTATCCCTTCCCTAGCATAAGAGTTTTCTTGAAATCATCTTTGATATTAAATTTTATACATGTCACATTTTTCTTACATTTGAAACACTTCTGAATTAAAAAGAGTGGAAGTTAATGGTATTCAACATCCTAGTGGTCGCTAGTGCTAAACTGCAACACTTAAAACTCCACCTGAACTTCACAGCAGGGAAAAAACCCACAACAATAATGGAAAGAAATCTCTCTTCATTTACCATTTTTTGTTTGAACTTGCTATAAATCAAGTAGAAAACCAAACCAATACTGTATCAAAGTTCAAAAATTAGAACATCAAGAATGAATTATTTCTTCTATAATTAGGGATCACCTGAACCACGTATTTTTTCATCCCACTTTGGTTTTTGCTGTTATTTTTAGTGGCCTATCAAGAGCTAGACTGAGGGAGTCAGCAGTCTCATTTACATGTAGTGAAGCTAAACATTACAAGAGTTTTGTAGTTAAAACTCAGGGATACTAAAAAAAAAATATATTTATTCTATATTCAAGACATCTGCTTGCCAGGGCAGGCGTGTTTCTATCAACGGAACTAATGATGTTCTCCCCTAGGTGGGACATCCAGAGAACCAATTTGACTCACAAGAGGGATGTCATGTCACAATAAACTCGTTAGATGAAATCGGTTCTCTCAGCCCCTGTCAGGGTGCAATAATCACAGAATCACAGAATGTCAGGGGTTGGAAGGGACCTCAAAAGATCATCTAGTCCAGCCCCCCTGCCAGGATCACCTAGGGCAGGCACACAGGAACGCATCCAGGCAGGTTTTGAATGTCTCCAAAGATCAGAGCAGGAGAGTGCAAAAAGCCCTGAGAGTGCACCAACGCTTGACATGCTGAGGACACCACATTTGGCAGCTTTCAAAGAGAGGCTGAGAGGTTGAACGAGGCAGCGATCATTTCGGAGAAGAAAATATGTGTCTAGGGATAAAAACCTCAGCTCTGGAGAGCAGAGAGGACCATCCTGGAAGTTAATCTAACGATGACCCCCGTGCACACTGGAAATACAAGGAAGCAAAACTGCAATTACTCTTCTTATTTGGTTTAGGTCTTCAAATAAAATATTGATTGAGATAGTTTTCATTTCTGGCATCCCTGCCTAGCAGACTTATGCAGGGTGCAGCTGACTTTCAGTCTAGCACCAAACCCCCCAGCACAGGGGCTGTTACTCCTCCTGGACTGACAACCTGCCCATTCCCCATACGTTACTCCAGCCAAGCAGAGCCCAACACTGCAGTGCAATAACAGCAAACCTGCTTCTGTGCCTTTTTTCCTACCCCTAAAAATAATAGGTGTCCAGAAGTCTGCAAAAGACTGCCGTATTTAGAGTGACAGAGCAAGCATTTACAAACTACAAATCATATATATATATAGCTCCACTAATAGTCCTGATATTTCTCTTTTACAAACAGAATTAAAAAAAAAAGAAGGGAAAAGTATATCAGAGAAAAAAGGTAAAGAAGGATGTAAGGTATAGAACTCTTACAAATAGAGTGGGAAAAGAGCTAAGCCTTTGCCACTGCAATCTATAATATGACATTTCACCCACAGTACAAAAATACATGTTGCTTTAATTCATCTCTTCTTCCTGCCTTAAATCGGACAATAAAACCATTCACCTATTTTCAGAGGAAGATGATGAACCTGTCTCTACGGAAAATAAACTGGAAATAGAGAGATACATAGCAAATGATTAATTCTCTCACTCAGTACCCAGTGACAGACTATAAAGCTAAATGACACTGTAAAGCAGTAGGAAAGAGGAAAAGCTGCTCAAGGACCCCTCTGTAAGCATTAGTTGGAAATTGTTTTGGAAATCAGCTGCTTGTCTACCAACTAATCTAAATTGTCCAAGGAAATGTCTCTTTAGGTTGTCACCATGTAAATCTGCATTATCCTTTTAGCATTAGCATATGTCTAAAATGAGTATTTGTCCTTAAAATGAACGAAAAGGGCAAATTTGCTTTCTAAGCGGTGGAGGTCCCCCTCCAGACAACACTAAATTAAAGCCTACTGAAAAATATTCTCATGACAGAAAACCAAAACCAAACCCCACGCAGGTCTCAGTTGAAGCCAGTGAATTATTTTTCAACATTTCAGTTAATCTCACAGAGGGGAAGACTGAAGACAACTCTATACATTCCACTTAGGCATTAAAAGATATTCAAGAGCTTGTAATTAGTGCAGAAATTGGTACAGGTGTGCTTATTTGCAACCACGACGTTACGTTACCCACAAGCTGTACTGCACATGTTGCTTGAACACCGGTGGGAGAGGAATCACCTTTAACTCTCACCAGGGCACCAAACAAAACACCCTGCAAGTAACTGTCACCCTCCACCTCTTGGTCATCTTGCTCACCTCTGGGTCCATTACCAGGCAACACAAATACGGCTTAAAGCACGACCAGTGATAATAAGAAGAGCCATTCCATTTCCCTAAAGCAATATGGAAAGGTTTCCTTTCATATGTGCTTGGGGTTTTTTATGCCAAACTTTCATCTCATCTCTAAGGCTAAAAAAAAGTCCAAGGAGCAATCTGAAATTGTACTGGGTGTCTGTGGCAAGTAGAGGGGCTACAGGGGTGGCTGCCGTAAGAAGATGTGAGGTGCTGCCCTGTGCTGGGTGCAGTCAGGACCACAATGGTCCCACCTCGGGACACAGCCCGTCAGCCAGACTTGTGGTGCCTCTGTGAAAAGGGCAAAGAACAGGCAAAATAAAGAGCAGCAGTGAGGGCCAAAAGGTGAGAAGTAGCCCTGCAGACACTAAGGTCAGAGAAGAAGGAGGAAGAGGAGGTGCTCCAAGTGCCAAAGCAGAGATTTCCCTGCAGCCCATGGTGAAAACTAAGGTGGAGCAGATGGAAAAGTGCAAGGAGACAGGAGCAGCAGAGAGAAACCGCTGTGACCGTAATCACCCCGTCTCCCCTCCCACCTTATGCCACCCATCATCACATCTTGCAAGGGACTGGGCATAACCTGGGGTGGTACCAAGGGAGAGGAGCCGGGGTGTCAGAAGCCAAGGAGTGAAGCCGGGCATGGGGAAGCAGCAGGCAAGGTGTGGTTTTAATGTTCGTCTTTGTTTCCTGCTACTCGAAAATCAGTAATTAAATATTTATTTACATTGATAATAAATTAATTTCCCCCAAGTTGAGTCTGTTTTGCCCACAACAGCAACTGGTAAGCAATCTCCCTGTCTGAACCTCGGCCAACAGGCTTTATTCCTCCTGTTTCCCTCATTTCGCCAAGGGACACGAGTGAGGAAACATGAGCAGGCGAGCAGCTGGGCAGGAGCTTTGCTGCTAGCCAAGGACAATCCACCACAGAAATGAAGTTACCTTCTCATCAAAAGTTTAGTTAGGGCAGCCTGAATTACAGAGGGGAACACTATTCTATCTTGCACTCAAAACTGAGTTCATCTGTATAGTTGCAACCCTAACGTTTGGAAAGGTTGAAGCAAATTTCATGGCATTTTTAAATAACATACAAAATAAATTGAGATACTGTTCTTTCATGACTTTTTGTAAAACATATCAAAACGAACATTACATCTGGAGTGAAGTGCAGCATCCAAAAATGGGGCATTACATTTACTTTTCACTATTTCTGCAGTATGCATCTAAAAACTTTTACTATGTTAGCATGTTAACATTTCACTTTATTAGGATGACCTCTGACACAAGCAACATTTTCATTCTGGGACCTCAAGGTCGTTATGACATCTTACATACGGTTACTTAAGCAAAGTGTGCTTACAGATACACATTTCTGAAACTTTGAAACAGTCAACCCAATACTACAGAAATTTAATCCATTAAAAAAATACCAAGGTGGAGACACACCGGCTGCATTTTAAACAATTCACAGTTCAAAGCCATCTACCTCCTCACTGAGAACTGAAGAAATGCCACAAGGAACTTACCTGCTAATGCTTCTATCACAAATTAGCTGAAGAGTTTTACTCCTCTGTAGTTTTCTTAAAGAAACAGTAACCAAATTATTTTTCTCTTGCACTTTTTTGAAGTGTGAAGTACTAGGTTCTTTCAGAACTTTCAGAAAACCAAAGAAAAAGAGTCACAGTAATATTTAAGTTTTGACTTTTTTTTTATGCTTTACATTATGATAGAAGCATTTTACTGTTTTGTATTGCAGTGCTGACATTGAACTTGAAAAAAGTAAAACTATAGCTGGTGGGGTTTTATTCTTATCAAATACAAAACAAGTAAAAATAATTGCAACTACATTAGACCATTCATTCCTTACCTTCTATTTCTCTCCTCATTCTCATTCTGTCAAGTTTCTTCTGCTGCTCCCTCAACAGCGCCTGCTGTTGAATCTCTAGAGTCTGGTCATCTTTTGGAGGATCAGGATACATGTGCCTTAAGCCCATACGTGTTTCAGAATCTAGAGGAAAGACAGGAAACTTAAATTTTTTCCTAAATGAATGTTTCTGAAAAACATTTTTGAACAACTAGGTACAAATACAAAGCCATACAAATATTAAAAATAATAGTGACAATGGTCTAGAGGATGAGCCACTTTAGTAATGACTTTACAATTTTTCTATATTAAAAATGGTATAGGAGTGTCCTGGGTTTGAGCTAAAACCCAG